AACGCATACGTGAAATCACATCTTAAGATACATTTGCGTTTGAATCAATAACTATCATAAGAAGTAGTTAGGTCTAATTTATCTGAAACCCGGAACAGCTACCCACCATCAGGAAACGAGTATTGAGGAAGCAAATAAATTTGCTTTAATTTCAAAAGCTTCAACATTGGATGTTGGCGGAGAATAGAAGCACAAACCAGATTTCAGGTGTTATCGTGTCGCTGTGTTTGGGCTATCCTACGTTGTTTTCAATGTTTTTTTCGACAGATAGGCACTTTTTTATAAGGTATCTGGACGAAAAGATGTGTAAAAAGCGAGAAAAGTAGTTGTTTTTGGTGTGTTGACGAAGTGCTGTCTTCTCATGGAATTGTCATGCTCCGGTGCATATGAAATGTCGGAATTCGTTGAAAAATGTTAAATAATTTCCATTATTGAAATATGTTTCGCGAAAATCATGAGGAAGGGTGTCGAATTTCGAGGCAATTATGATTTCATGATACTCACAAAATTTCACAGTCAGAAGGAAAACCAAGTTGGTTATTTGGTCACATTTGCATGTGATTGAATTTGGGTATGATGGGGTACTTTTATTGCTTTTGAGTAATTGCTTCCGCTGGTAAACCGTAAACAGGCGTTATGCGCAACAAAAGTCTATCTATTAAGTTGCAGTATTTTATGACAACAAAATAATCGACGAAGTTTAGTGACGTGGTCAACTAATATACAGGTTAAGCGCTGATGTGATCATGTAAGCGCGTATTGACACGAAATGATAACACAAGAAAATTAATGTAGTTATCTCCCTATTTTCTGATAATTTCTTTAGAGATAAAGGTGTTAAACGCAACACAAGAATAATAGACTGCTTGTGATAAATAGGATATACGCTTCATAGTGTACTTGAAGTGCCTAGGCAACCAATACGAGTCATGTACGTATAGAACCTACGTTTGCTAGGTTATATTTCGTTATTACAGTACAAACATACGTTCAACGACTGTTTTCATAACAATAGTGAATACTAATATTATACGCAACCGGATTAAACGTAACTGAAACAGTTTAGCAAGATTTGGTGACGCATTGAGGAAATAATAACGCATTTCGCATAAGTATTACTACCTTTCCTGTTATTCTCTTTAACTTGCAATGTTCTCAAAATGTGAAGTGAAAGAGACAAAGGTAGTCGACACAAATGTATATATTTGCAACGAAATTCAATATGAAAGAGTACATATCTACACTAAAAAGAGTTAATAACAATCCAGTGAAAAAAATCACAGTTGCAGAGTTTTTATAGCTGCGTCATAATCATCATAAAGTCTACTGACCACTCCGTCCACAACATCTGTATCAGTTTGCCTCAGTTGGTAGTGGTGTTGGACCAGTCTTTTCAGTTTCTATAACCACCAGGTCCGTTCGGAGAAACTGAATATAATCTTTTCGAGCCAAGATTGAGATTGTATTACCTCGAATACCTTCGGTAGTATTGAGAAGTATCTAAGGTGAACAATTCCCTAGCTTAGGCACACCGAATACGTGAACAGAGGAGGGAACAATCATATAGTTGGTGCGATTCTATATAGTCGTCATGTATTTCACGGTAGATTTGAAGAAGAATTCTAAAACATCTATCACACTTTCTCTTCTGTAAAAAGCAAATATTACACAAGTGACTTTCTTTTCCATCCGTTACACCCAAATGAAAGAGGCCAAGTCTTTGAACTTCTTTGATTAAGTTAACTAGTAATATTCTTTTTGTAAGTGGATCCAATGCTCATCACATCTATGGAATTTATACATGTATTAACTTGTTACCTTAAGCTGAAAAATATAATATCTATCTGATTTCATCATTGCCTCAGTAACGTACACGACGTATTGGCCGCGACGTTTACTCAAAGGAACATCTACCAATCACAATGAGCATAAGTGACCTTCAAGTGCTAGCCTCTCCATAAGCCATTTGTGCCGCCATCCTGTCTCGGGCGCTGGAGTGGATCTGGTCCAGAGGTCTTCAACAATAGCGTCCCAAGAGTGGGAAGCACGCTGGCTAACGGCACCTGTTATTATGATAGCTGAAATGTCAACGCTATTCACCAACTAAGGAGCAAATTTCACCCAGATTACGTTTTTAATTACTATTTGGTCAATGTGTTAATAGCCCGTTAGGGTTAGGATCATGGTTATAATTAGTATTAGGTCTACGGTTAGGATAAGGGTTGTAATTAGTGCTAGGATTAACGTTAGACTTAGTGTTAAGTTTAGGGTTAGGGTCAGGATTAAGGTTAGGGTTACCATTATGAATAGATTTAGGGTTGATGACATTTATTTTAATTTGTTTTTTATCCACACTTCACTGGTAAGTAGTTGTCAATCCTCTTACTGGAAACCATAGTAATTCAACCGAAGGCTTTTGGGGAAGACTACGCAACTGGATAAGAGATAAACAATTCAGAAAAATAGCTCATCTTTAGTCACCTCGGTGAATACATGCACAGAAACTAGGCTAACTTAGCAACTGATACTCCTCATTATAACTGGGACGCATTTTTAAGTCATGTCAGAGGAAGATAACCTGTTTAAAGTGTTTTCGAGCATTTTCTTGCCAATATACATCATATTTTGTGCAAAAATTCCTCATTTTTATGATTGGTCAGCTGAAGGTCACTCGTAAGTCGGCACTCCTGGGACGCTATTGTTGAAATTTGCCCATTTTATACCACGCAACTTCTAGTTGAACTGATAGGGAAGCCCGAGCTAGTAAAAAGATGCAGTGATCACGAGTGTCGATTGCTAGTCGCCAACGTTATGTAGTAGCGACTTTATTGAGAACACACAATGAGGTCAGTCAAAGAATGTTTACACAGGAATTAATTACACATACACATGTGCAACAAAGAATACTGCGTACACAAGTGTAGGTTTTTTGGAATAGATAAACCCATTAGTTGTACGCCTACCTACCTATGATTGGTTCTGGTCCAAAAATCTTCAGCAACTAGTGCTTATAAATCGAATTATCTGGAAGCTGTTTCAAGTAGTAAAGTTAAAACGGAAGAGTGAAGGCGTAATAAGCGGACTTATTCCCTATGCGATCCAAAGTTAGGGTTGGACCTGGTCATAGCCAGTTACCCAAACAAGGTGATCCAGCCACTGGCTTGTTTTTCCACTTGATAGGTGCATTCAAACAGACAAAACAGCCATGGTTTTCAGTTTGCTGGTGCTATTGTAATGAAACAGCCGAAAGCTGACCTGTACACAAATATAGTCTGTCGTTGGAATTCAGATATCCCGAACCACTTTAGAAGTTGTTTGCGTTACAGTAGACTCATTTTGTTTTCATGCAAGACTTCTCATTGGACTTTTTATGCACCAATATTTTGTATTTTTTGATCTCCTCAGTTTTACTCATCGTATTAGTCATACCTGCTAAATCAACTGCTACTGGTTTATCAAACTTTTTAATATTACCACACTTAACGGCAAATTTATCTGTTTTTAACGAGAAACTTTGTTTACGGGCTTAAAATCGAGTAGTAAACTAGGAATACTCTAAGGTAACTTACCATCCTTTTATTTTATATCATTATGAAGCCCTTCTAATATTCCTAAAATTCCTGTTGATAAACGAAATTATGTAGAAATGATATTGTAACTTGTTTTACAGTGTTACAGATTGTAAGCAACTGAATAGAATCCTGGAAATGAAATAAATCTGTGCTATTCTGCGCTGATTTTAATGCCTTTTCTTTTTAAATTTATTAAAGGGAATTTGTTTATGAAAATTCTGTAATTAAAGGAGTGCGCCGGCCGGGGATTGAACCCCGGACTATGTGCATGGTCGGCGAGCGTCCTAACCGCTATGCCACCAACGCACTAATTGTAATTTCTAGAATGCAAGTATCTGAATGACATCAAAATCTTTTCGTTTTGCAAAAAAATAAAATGTTACTTAACAACAGCAGCATTTGCATACGTTAACATTGAGTCATAACTATTGTATGAGAGCTAATGAAATGTGGCTGTCCAAACGTAGGTTGGCGGAGCGATGTCGTGAGTCGAGTTCTTTTGGCCAGAGCAGAACTTGTGCAACCAATCTCTTGGGTTTTGTAACGTGATTGGTGCTTCATTTTTAAGGCCACTCAATCAAACTTCGTCATATCTACCTTCGACGATGATAATAACTATCGTCATGACCATACCTCCTTGTCCATAATACACGAGCATATACACAGTTGAGTAGACTTATGTAATGTATTTCCAACTAGGTAAATGATTTTCCCATATACCGCAGAAAACTGGTCATTTAAATCCCCGCGCAAAATTTGATCTGATCACTGGAAAAATACGTAATTGTATTTCTACCCAACGTTTCTTCAAATCACTAGTATCGTAAACAGAAAACAACACCGAATCTTTACTCTGTAAATTAACAGCAAAAGCCACCATTTTACCAGCCAGTAATAATGACAGGATGGTGGAAATGAACCGTAGTGTGATGTGCAGCTTATGAAAGAATCAGCCGCGAAGACAAAAAAAATTGAAGTAGAATAGCAACATAATTATTAATCTCTTTTTTAGAAACATGCATACATACATTTGATTTGATACTTTATTATCATTATTTTTTATCCTATCAGTTATTTGGAACAACAGGGGATTGTTTCCGATGTGAATGCAAACGGTCCCGTATAATTTCAAGATGACGTAGCAAATAGTCTTGAGGTTTTGGTGTCATGGCTATTGCCTCTAAAAGACACAGTTCTGCTTGTGCCAACTCATTCTCATCTGCCAAGGCAACACATAGGTTATGCTTCGCCTGGATATTGCTTGGGTCTAATTTGAGAGCCTGTTCAAAATACTGAACATAAGATAAAAAGTATTAATGTCGGGTCAAATGATATTTGTTATGGAATTCAGTCACAAGGTGCTTACCTGTTTTGCCTGTTTTACATTAGCTTTTTCTGTCAACTCTATATCGCCGAGTAGTAAGTAGGATTTTATATGCGAAGGATGAATCTATGAAGTGAAGAGAAAATCTGATCTTTAGAATTCAAGAAACTTCTATCAAGACATTTAGGCACAAACTAATCAAAATTTGCATTAATATAAGAGAAGAACTCTGACAACATGTTAAGGTACAATTCTGTGTTACTTTGTCTGCTTGATGCTGACGACTAGTCTTAGCAAGTATATTTATTTGTTCGCATCATTCTTAGTAAATATGAGAGTTTCAGGAATTGGTTGGTCGCCGTATATAGTACAATAAAAACAGAATTTCAGATTACCACCATATGTATTGTGTGTAATCACTAGGTCCTCTGAACAAATATCTACCTAGGTAGTAAATCGTTCATGCTATTCCGAAATTCAACATTTAATCAGATGTTATATATGTCCAAACCAAGTTCACGTTCAACAGTTTGAAAAAATTTTGGCATTGGGTATATGATATTCATTATAATAAAGGCTTTTGTATTTCCCAATGAATAAAAAACAAAACGATATTGTTTTTACTGACGTTTCGCTATTTAATGCTAATAGCTTTATCAAAGTATTATTAAACCGGAATTTACAAATACAAAAACCTTTATTATTTAATCAGATGCCTCAAACAAAACAAAATATACTGATGGGAATCACCTGAATAAGATGAAGAGCCAGATCGCAGGCATCATTCGGCCTCCCAAGATGATTTCGATAAAGTAAAGCTAAATTGAACAAGGCACCTTTATGGTTTGGCTCCAGCTTCAAAAAATACAGGATAAAAAGGAAACAGTAGTAAACTCAGACATATATGGAAACAAACGATAACGAAATGAATTTATGAGAGAGGATATTCAAACGATATTTTTCACTTATAACACTGCTACAAATTTGAATTATATATGAAAAAATGAGTACCATTTTTGCATCTAGGATGATTTCCATTCTAATTTAGTATTGCAGAATCCTGAATTTAGTTTGATGAGACGGTTGTTGCCAGTGTGAAATATTTCTAGCGTTCCATAATTGAAGCTATCGCGACTGTACCTTTTATTAAACAAATTGGCATTCAGATATTTGCAGATGAACAACTGGTTTTCAGTACAGAAGCAAACGATTGCTATAAATTTAACCTTAGTAACACAGATAGGTAAACAAATCGACTATAAACTTTGTGAACAACTTCCAACAATGAAGCAAAGTGTACTCAGTGACTGACTACACATACAGCAATTAACATGGCGTAGACAAATAGTTAGTAATTTCTTGGATTGAAGACAATGGCTCGGCATGCCCTCTTTTGTTTTTACGAGTTGATGACGGATTGATATCAGTTAGAGAACCATTGAAAACCATGGAGTACTGGACAGCTGTTGCATAAAATTACATGCCAAACATTTACATTTCGCTGAAGGAACCTCGGGAAGATAAAAACCAATGGCTGGAAACAATTGGTGACATGGCTCAAAATCGTTCTCAATGGCGCTGATGCATCCACTCCTTGTGACTTATTATTTCCAGTTAAACTGTTTCGTTCTTCGTTATTACTGTACCTTTGTCTCACACCTCTGTTTACTGCCTCTAATATGCATTACTCCTACTTTCTTCTCTTGCTTTGTGTGCTAAATGGAGTGTGGTGACCTGAACGGCCGCACATATGTGCAAAGTTCTATGTCGAAAACAGACAGACAGATAGCTGAAGGTGCTCACAAGAATATGTTTCAAACTAATGCCGTACATCTTCCATGTCGCAATGTGAACCTTGAACACGATAAAGTGCTAAACATGTGCTTCAGAAGTCTTGCATGCACCCGCACCATAGGTAACTGATAGCAATGTGACCTATTTGAGTCCAGGATTGACTGGTAGGGGGAGGATGCCAAGTAGCCCGAAGACAGTGTCTGTGACTCAAGTTGCCTCTGGCGGTCGGAAATAGAAAGCGATCCACGCAGAGCTGCAGAAGACACTCTATGATCTGACTTGTGATCGAGTAGTCCCCATTAACCATCTAGACAACTCTCCTTTGAGTCTAGTTGTCTGACCTGTACATTTAAGTTTCCAGTTAGCATACGATATCTGTTCGACACTCATGATTCAGAAGCTCATTCGGCTGACAGTAGAACTTATTCTTAATTAAACTCGCACTGCAATTCATCAATGCATAAGTAGAGATGACGAAGTAGGCGAAGCTTCGGCTCTAGCGTTTACGTCACATACAACACTGCTAAAATGGCTTTCTGATACTATCGACGGCACCCCAAAGTGCTCAATCATATCATTTATTGGACTGTGATCATGCTTCTGTGATGTCAAAAAGCTTTATTGTCATCAATTAGCAAAGCAACAAAAAGGTACTGCGGCTCGTGAAAGCTTATACCATCCGATTGTGTAAAGAAGCAGACAGAAGTCAATCTGAATCTCCCTTGGAAGCATATTTTACACCTTTCCTTCCCTCTCTCCATTCACCCTACAGAGGTTATTTATTCTAATATTATTAATCGGGTATTTGGCTGCGTACTTTTCGTGATTATTTAGAAACCATAAACGTCTTTCAGTTTAGAAGTAAACACTAGACAACTACGGAATGACAGTGACAGGTATGTACAGTGGAAACTCCTCTTTAGTGAAGTGCTGGGATAGAATCTCCGTGAGGGTATCTTTCTTGAATTGTAGGCATTTATCGAAGAATGCAAAAGTGTCATCGAAGTAACGACAATATAGTCCCACTTTCGCTATTTCCTCCTTCGACGGAGAATTTTTTCAAATATCCCCTAAAAAAAGTTTTACTTCGATACTTTTTACCATGGCAACCCGATTTTATGAATATTATCCACATTTTTTGAATTACGTTAACAAATTATCACTCACTTCTTACAGTTCATAAACTTGTGTAAATTGATACTTATATACTGTCATCATTTCCACGTGTCTGTAATTTACTCGTATAAACTAATATAAATAATATTTGTAGGTTAATTGGCTGAAGAGTCCTTCCAAACAGTATGAATTCGCCAAATACTACTTCAAATTATTGGTTGTCTTAAATTATATATTTAGTATTGATTTAATCTACTACAGTTTTTCTAAAGTGTTTCAATAATAAGCTTAGGCAGTTGACTTATATTCATGAAGTTCGCTATATACACAAGAGTAATACACTTCTGATGGCAGACATCTAAGTAAGCTGAACATGCAGAAATAAAATAATACTGGCTAGCAGTAGTACATCGATACAAAGGATATATATATATATGCTACTTACGAGAATCACTTCTTGATAGTGCTTAGCTGCTTTTGTATAATTCTTCTTATCAGTTTCCAGCATACCCAACGCAAAATGTACTTTGATTGGTTCGAAATTTTGTTTTATTAGATTTTCATAACTGAATTGGACAGAAAAAGGCTTTATGAAATCTGTCTTAAAATCGCTATCATGGAGAGAATTTATGGTTTTATATCTTCGTTGTGAAATAAGCAGATATACGGTAAGAAAATGGAGTACAATAAAAATCCTAATTATACAGTGGAATGTTCTTATTTGGTAGGTGTTTATCTATTTACCTTGGAATTCTCAGGAAGAGATATCCTGTCTAAAGACCGTTAGTTGACTGAGAGTAAGCAGGTGAGATAATTTTGTTAAATGAGGATAAGTAAGTTACATCGTCTTTAAAACAGAATGCGCAAAAATATGAGTATGTGTACATGTTCTTTTTTTCTAAAGTGAAAATCCATGATCAAACTTTATACAAATGAAATCCATGCAAATTAACTGTTGAAAACCAAAGTGAAAATGTTAAAACCTAGTCGAAACTGAAACTAGTGACAACGATTAACGTCTTTTAGTGAGTCAATTGCTTCGCTTACTAAGTGATTTTCTTTCAACGCAATTTCGTTAAACGAAATACTCAATGAGGAATGCACTTAGAGATTAACGGTGAGATATTAAATCTGATATCAGTATTTTCTGAGCATTGATATTCGGTCACATATTCAGTTTACATTTGCACACCTAATTACAGATTTTATTTCAATCTTTGTTGTCTGATATGCTGAGACTGACACTCAAGTAAGCGCTTTATTCCATTGATTGCTACTGTAGGACATCCTGTGCTTCACAGTTAGATATAAGTCACTCTAAGGAGATAACCGAATGGCATTACCAGCAGGCTGCAGACATATCAACAGCTGCATTTTCTGGCACCATATTGAAAATCAAATAGACAGAAAGAATTAGCAACGGGAAACGATGACAACTAACTAACCAAGACCCTATTACCCAACAAGTATGATGAAGGAAATGGAGTAGACACATGCTGAGGATACTGTTGAATGATATTGCGCGCCAGGCCAACGGTCGATTGGAACCCGAATGGGAAACGACGAGTTGGGCGTGAATCCGAGGGTGACATGAAGGAAATCGTGTGGGGGGAGATGAAAGCTTACAGACAATTGTGGGGTCAGCTGAAGAGATGTGCTGCTGAAACCCTATGTTCCACTTGGAATCCAAGGGATTAATAACATATAATAATAGCTTTATTGCAGAACTTAATGCTTCAAGCCATCGGTCAGAATAAGTTGTTTTATCACTGACGCAGAGTATTTTAATTTATGAAGGAATGTATACACATGATTTATTTTTGATCAATAAAGCAGTCATAGACCAGTTTATTTCTCTTCAGTAGAAGAAGAAGAGGAGAGAAGATTCGTATTTACTTAACGTTAAAGTGCCTTTAGCACCCTTGTTTTACTCCAGTCAATCAAACCAGTGTCATTAAAACGTGATTTTTTATGGTGTACACTATATAAATTATGCAAACAGCTGCTCACGACCGAAAAATCCACCAATTAATTTTAGGGATCATACGATTCCCATTGAGATGTATTTTACATAACTCCCTGCTTCTCAACGCTGACCAGATAAAAGGAAAGTTGGAGTTATCATGTAAATATATTAGATAAAGGCGACAAATCACGTTTAAGAAAATGATGTGATGTGACTGCAAACTGGTTACAATAATGCGTTTCGTTCTACTTACACTCCATTTATCTGATTATGCTCCAAAAAATCCCAGCCTGGATAAGCGCATATTCCCATATGATTGTGCTAAGATGCAACAATGCTGTGCATACTTAGTGAGATAAAGAATGATGATAATCAATCTGAAGCCTATAGTCATGAGAATAAAGTTACAAAATATATCGAAAAACTAGCTGGATGAATATTCATTTCTATCTGCATCCATCACCAAAAGTTACAACCCCACACAAGAGGTATCATATTTTTATGGGAAAAGTTTTGTTTTGTTTTCATTTGTACGGAATTTAATTGAAACTTGGAGAATTGTCGAAGTCTCTACTTTTGTGTCAAAGTAATTTAAGAATAAAAAAATTGCTGAACTTACATATCTATTGCTTGTTTTTGGTCTGTGACATTGGTGGATTCACTAAGTGTTGATGCGACAGCAAACAGAGAAGGCTAGTATTGAATGGCGATAAGAGAAAAAGTGTGGTGTGAAAGTAATTAACCACTGCATTCAATAGTTTACACATCTAGATGAGACAACATATATGATGTGGCAATCGAACGCATCGTTTAATGCAATAATGTTTAGAGCGTATTATTTCTTTACGCTGATTTAAATAATGTTGCCACAATTGACTCTACTTACTTTAAATGTGCGTTGGTGGCACAGCGGATAGGAAGCTCGCCGACCATGCACATGGTCCGGAGTTCAATCCCCTGCCGACGCACACCTGATATCAATGGTCAGCCTGCTAAATTTGGGCTACCGATATCACATGCTGGAAATTTCATACTTGTACCAAAAGACTGTGTGAAATCAAGCTATAGTAAAATTTATAAATTTTATATCGTTGCAAAGTTTCATAAAATTAACTGAGACTAGTCCTTATTCACATACAAATTATTCTCTACGAAACGACTGAAGATTTTTCATCTATCCAGAATATACTTGTTTTTAGGTATGGCATAATCAGCCTTAAACTAGTAGGTTAATACTTCACTACGTCCTACCTCCCATGTTAAGTGGCATAACAGGTTGAGTAATATTGAGGTTAGGTGTCGGGTGCTAGTTAATGAGGGAAAATCAATCTACTAGGCTTTGAAGTTACATCGATTGAGATGGTCAGGGCATGTGTTACGCAAGCTCAGTCTAGCCATAGCTTTCATCAACGGGCAATGTTAGCTAACATAGGATCAGGTTGGAAAAGAGCTGGTGATGGTCAAACTAAAACATGATATCAGTCAATGAAATTCACAAGTCAGTTTAAGCCAGTCATGTAGGGAGGTGTAGACTGCTGTTTGGTTGGATTCCTTGGAATGTTAAGAAGCAATGATGGCTGGAGACAATAGGTGATATGACTCAAAATCGTCGTTGTTAATGACAGCTCAGATGCATTCACTCTTTGTCATCTGTCATATCCAATAAAACTTTGTCGTTCTTTCATATTACTATGCCTTCTCTCTCTCACACACACACTCACTTAATTTCTGTTAATTATCACTGTTTACTCTTTTCTCTTGCTTTGTGTGTTGAATGGAGGGAGAGTGATAACTGGAACTGCTGCACATCTGTGCAAAGTTCTATGTTGAAACCAGTCAGTTACTTCTCATTCCAACTTCTGAGTTTCATTTATTCACAAAACGCAATGGTCAATTGGTGTTATTAGTCATTAAACCAAATCATAAAATTAACTGACTTTTCGTTTATCTTAAGCATGGAGAAATAAACGAAAATTTCAAATTTTTTGTGTTCTTGCATTTTTCAACTCACTCTCATATATATTCCCAAAGATTTTGGATAGTGAGAATATGGTCTTACCACTGGAATTTAACATGAAGAAAATCAGTTGAAAGTTCTACAAAACTCTCAATACACAGGCTTTGGTGATCTTTTTTGACAGATACTTATGAATTTGGTGTTAGTGAGCACAAATTAATTAACACCCTTTATATAATCGGGCAGATACGTTAACACCCTGATAACTTAATAAATAATACTCATGCAATTATAGTACAAATAAGATGCACTGTTTACCATTTGTGTATGTAGAAATTAGTTTCAGCTTTTTCGTAATCAGTGTAAAGCGATCTTAAACCACGTTTGCTAACACTGTAACCGAATGTATCATAGGCATTGAATTTACTCAGTGTCGACTGAGAATTAGTGGAAAAATACGAGTCGATGTATACAGTGCTTGGACAGGCGTTTATCTTTTATCTGAAGTACACTAACAACTTATGGCAAATGACATAAATTATTGTAAATAGTCAAAATAACTAATTTTCAGCTATTATGGATTTCATTTAACTCATTTTCGTAAAGGCTTTTAGTATTTTATTCCATAGATGTATGCTTTTAACAAAATAGTATGGTGCAGTTAGTATTAAAATATCCTAAGTAAGTAATGGCATTGGACTAAACTATATATTTCTGCTCTGTATTTGTACTTCTACCATTCTGGAAAGTAAAAACAAAATATTTTCTATAAAAAATGAAAGATGATGTAATAAATAAAAGATATGGTGTATAGAAAATACCTGATGGTGTGGATTGTAAGTTAGAGCAGTATTCAAATACGATAATCCTTCCACCGTCTGTTGAGATTCTAGGAGAACAACTCCCAACTAAAAATATTTAAAAAAATCTGCAAATGAAAGCAAGAGGATCAACCATGCAGTGTAAATACAGTTGACTACCTAATTTGTGGATGGGATGGTAAGTTGCAGTTGTAGTGCAGATGAAAACATGATGACAATGAAATGGATAAGTTTTAGAAAAAAACTGTACAACTTAGATGTTCCTATATCACAGTATTTGTATTTTCGTACATTTCATTGGGATAACAACTGTTAACGACTAACTCACTTAAGGGGTGAATATTAAAAGGATATGTTGAACTGACTGCTAATATGAACAGCTCTTGGTGTTAGACTACGGTACATCTGAAAATTCATTGTTGCTAAAGTCGAGCGTAACTGTTTCACTGAGTTCCAACGTACGATTTTGTACAAAAGTGCGGTGGTTCAAGTTGCTATATTTCATAACCTCACTAATGTAGAGGAAAACACGCAAAGGAACAGCAGTGAACGGAAATGTGGAGGAAGAATGAGTACACGGAGATTGATGGGAAATTTATTGATCCGGGAGTTCATAAAGAGTCAGTACATCTACACCATGCAGAAGAATCTTAAGCCATATCACTAAGTCTCCAGCCATTGATTCTTAGCTCTTCATTGACCCTGTACTTGCAGTCAGCACCTCCCTACGTAGCCCATGCCTACAATCAAACTTTATCGATTGCTGTCATGCTTCGCTTCTACCAAACTCAACTCTCTTACAACCTAATTCTATGTTAGCTAACATGTGCTCAACATAGAAGGTGGAGGTTTGAAATACATAAACGTGATCTAACCATGTCAATCGATGCAGCTCCACAACCTCTGACCCACTTCCCCTCCTTACCTTATATACTGTACGCCTAACATCAACTATGACTGAAGTAGTTACCTAATGTTTCTCAGTGAAATCCCTAGGTTAATGAAATGCATCTGTTAGCATGCATATTAGCATTTTGTATTATCAACATGAAAATTTCTTATATGGAGAAAAGGCATTTGCGATTCTTCAGATTTAATTTGTATAAGTTAAGTGGCATATGGCTTTTCTATCTTTCATTTCGTTTTCGGGGAATTCTTTCTTCGCTGCAAATGTAACTTCTGTATTTAGCGTGAATGAGTTCAGATGTACTCAATTTGATAAGAATTGACAGATGGTTGCTTAATAGTTTGTTTAGATTAAGGTGATGAACAACCAAAGTTACTAATGCGTCAGTAAACACTCTTGGTAGATCAGAATCATCATACATGGGATCAATGATTGAGTTCATTCACTGTTTGGTATTAACTTCAGTTTTACAATAAACTAGAAGTCCTTTATTGCCGCGTAATTCATAATATCTTCATCAAATTAAGGTAATTACTTACATTATAATTTAAGTCTGCATTTTTCGGTTGGTAAATTAAAGCCTGCCTATACGCCTTTTCAGCTTCTTTATACCTAAGATTTAAGTAGTGCAGAAAATAATGCCAGTGTAAGAAAGTAAAATAAAAGCGGACAATGATTTATATTTTTCTAATTTAATAAATAAGCTACACCTTAACTCTAAAAAACTGTCACTTTCACAAATACCTAACCATTAAGTAAACAACATGTAATTTGAGAGAAGAAATACATCATCTAAAATATAAAATCTTGAATACTGTAATACAATATGGACTTCAAGTAAGGCAGTCAAAAAGTCTTCAGTGTTATGTAGTTTTTTCTTTAAGTCCGCATTCACGAAATTACTTCAAAACTGGCTTAGTTTTTACAAAGTGCTTGTTTGAAGGGGGAAAAAATTAGGACTCACCATCCAAACACGAAAGAGTGCACATTATCCGAATAGAAATTTTATGTCAAATTAATATTATTCCTACTTGATTTCTATGGGACTGGTCAAAAATAAGTTAAGACTGTACTGGAAATTTTATGCATTAGTATTAACTTCTGCAATGTTAATAAATAACCAACCTAACTGACTTCAGTCTACGACAAATTCCCTTTAGAACTATTCTCAAATAAATAAAAATTCATTGAATTTTATTCATTTGCGTCTCCAGTGGAACATATGGTTTCAAGCTTGAGCTTTGAAGTTTCAGTAGCAAGTAATGCCTTTATGGGGTGAGGTTGCTGGACTCACGCCCAATCCTTCCTCTTTACTAGACCTACTACCCTCTAAGTGAGGTAAAGGAGTGCATCGGTCGGGGATCGAACACCAAACCACGTGTATGGATGACGAGTATTCTACCGGCAAACCACCGATGCACGAATATGCCGTTCACTATTATTTACCTGATTAAGTTTGAAAAGGTGTATCCTGTTTTGATCTATTTGTGTAAGTAAAAAATAGACTACTAATCAGATTGTTAACCGTGGAATGATGCGGTAATGATATCGATTTATTACTAGAAAAACGGTTACTCAAAAGATGTATTTACCCGTCAACTCAAGTACAGATAGTTTAATAGGTGTATACTTCCATGGTTTTATATTCTAGTCTCAGGAGTATGTAACAAACAAATCTATTTAACATGCTTTACGGAATTTCAGTCATCTTTTGACTACCTTTCACAGTTAAGATATACATTTTGTGTAATTTTGTGTAGTGATTGATCACACATCAAACAGAATTTCATTGGGCATTTCTATTACTTTTAACAGAGTCATATGCGTGTGACTGGTAATTTTGTGGATAAATAAGCACTAAGTAACTTACTGTATACATAAACTTTTCTGAACTTAGTTTTAAAAGAAAACAGTACCTGAAGCACAGAACGGTCGTTACACCACTCATAGCAATGAGGAATAACTCACTTTCCTAATTTGATCAATACACTACCATAGTTCTGATAGGCGTCTACAAAATCCGATCGTAATGAAATAGCTCGACTCAGAAGAGCAGCAGCATCTTCAAGCCTCGGTGGTGACTTATTGATATACAGATTAGCAAGATTAATAAAGACCATGAGATCTTTGGGAGAGACACGAGCGTAGTATGTTTGACCTGAAATATAAGAATGTAAATGTCTATATATATATATATATATATATATATATATATATTAAGAACTGTCAAGAAAAATGCTTGTATGTTTAAAATATAATTAAGATTATCACTATTCACGAAAGACTTGCACAATCTCCATCGCCCACTAGCCAATGCTTTTTGTTATTTTATTAGTTCATCATGCTTGTATATGCATGAATATACCTTTAACACATAAACACTGTCAATAAATTATTCACCAGTAGATCATCAGTGATGTTTCCAAAAACTTAATCAGGTTGTTTTGACGACTCCAGGTTATTTAGGGATATTTGCTGAAGAGTATGAATCGTGAAATCAGTGGTATTACAGCGTACGCTAACCAAGCGCTTTTCAATAGGAATCAGATGCGCTAACTAAGAATCCTAAGGAGTCATGAATGATACAGCGTATGTCTTACTCTAAATCATAATCATTCTAGGCAGTTATTAGAAACTAGTGCTGGTTAGAGTAATCGTTATTATGTTACAAGACGTTGATATCACAAGGAAATGTAAATCAACGCACCAACATCTGCAGCTCTGCATTGAAAACCTGTACACCACAATGAAGTCGGAATAGCTAGTCCATATGACAGTTTTTGCAAAAACTAGCGTCAGGCATTAGAGTCATTCATGCAAGAACATTTACCATATTGTTATATTCAGGGGCAAACTGATTAAGCTTCCCACGGTTGGGACAGACAAAGCTTCACCATCCTTATTCTAAACAATACTTCATAACTATGAAGAAGATGGATAGAGACTGAATAAAACACTTTCGGACGAGCAGTGCAGAAAGTTATAACGCCAAATATTAACTACAAACGAATTCTCACATCTGACGACAGAAGACTAGAGTTGCTGTTTACCAAGCTGTCAGAAAGATTCACTTGATAATCATCATTTCTTTAATTTACAAATGATGTATTCTCTAGAACGAATGTAATTTGCTCAAAACCTGTCTAAATGACAACAGTGTGGTGTTCATATGTCAACTTTTAATTTTCATTAATGTCACCACAGCACAAAAAAATTACCTTTCCTCGGTTTCGGAAAATATTCTAATGCACCATAGTATGCTTCCTCTGCTTTGTCTAGCATTCCTAGATTCACGTATGTACGGCCAACATTAATCCGTGCACCCATATCATTCGGCTGAACACTGGAACATATGTACACGGTTAAAAAGAAACATTTAACTGAATGACCACAGGTATATGTCCAGTAAAATTAGATAACATAAAAACCATCAAATATATTGCGAAGAGATTTGCGATTGTTAGAATGATGTGAATGTAATAATGTGATGATAAATACGATATGTGTACATAGAAAAATAAAGTTAGATATATGACAGAATTGTATGAGGGTAGACAACCCTAATTTTAACTTCATCACATGAACTATGGAGTGCTTGGTACGCTGAACAGTTTTCACTAACCCCGCACAGTTCAAATTAAGTAGTAAGCATTGAAAATGACAGAGAACTGCAAAGAAGGCTTTTTCCACTATCAACAACCCTCTTTATAAACCGTTACAGTTATTTTTAAGATATTTGTTAACATTTGAATCACGATTCAGTCATAGGAATACACTACCCGTTATATAATGACTGTCACTAACTGAATTTTGTTAACTCCAAAATGGAACTTTTATGGAGTTGTGCAACACAGCTTCATAGAACAAATGAGAAAAGGTAGTGCCGTTGAAACCCACTAACTATATCGAAACCTGAACAAATATAGAACAAACATTGATGAAAAATAAGATGAATCGACTTCGCTCCGTTAGCTCTCGTCAGCTGCGCGCAACCTCTAACGTCTCATAAAACAAGTTATACTATAATTTTAAAATAACAATTTGTTCATAATCATGAATCAGTCCCCCAGCAAAGGCTGTTGTGACAAAGTCATAATGAAACAAAACATAAGGATGATAAGGTTATATATATATATATATATATATATATATATATATATAAGAGCGACGTTTCTCGTAAAAAATGAACAAATTTGTTGTTAGGGCGATTATAAGTCAGTGATAATTGCGCAAGCAGAGGTAATGAAAAAAACAGTGATTAGAACCCATAAGTTTGGGAAATCAAAATGTGTGTGTGTGTGTGTGTGGTGTGTACGAATTCGAGTGAGATGATAAGGTAATACAGTGATTAGTCTTCTAAGGATAAAAACTCAAGTCTGATATGAAAGTAAAGTTTAAAAAATCGGAGGAAAAACGAAATGATGAAATCAGAAGACAAAGACTTATTAAGGAGAGAACAAATAGTTCAGGTTTCAGTTCTTTGATTCTGATAGCCTCAATAAGCTGAAGAACACTTAAGGCTGCTTTGTCTGTTCGAAAATTGTTTTTGTCGGTAAATGAAAGCTCTGTTTCACAAACCGAAGAAGCGTAGAAATATGATGTAAGCAAACGAAAAGCCATGTTAAAGTAGGATTTTACCACAAGTTGCCTTACAATCTCTCTATCGTATGATATCTAGCTTAGTCTCGAAGCTAGACTTTTATCAAAGTTATTCTGACTGCCTTTATATGTATCGCCTAGTCAGTAGAGAAGCATCAGTGCGTATATAGTTGATTTAACTAAGAAATAATTTATGAAGCTTCTGTTCATGTTTAATAATAATACTGCTCACTCAATTGATTACTTATTATTGCCAAATTAAATTCTATTTCTCGATCTCAAGTGAGACAAAACACAGTGCAATGATAACGATCGCTGTTTAAATCAAAGTTGATTTCAGCACTATCATTTCTGATTTGAACAACAAGCATTAGACTCACAAATCAACAAAAACGTTACTCGGCAGTCTGCCTCAATTAGCAGTAAATCATACACATAAAAACATGTGCGCAGTAGTAAAAAATAATAGAACCAGAAGTGAAAACATTAGTTGTTCTTTTTTAGGAAAAAAAAAAGTAATTAGTATAACTGCCTCCTACAAAATAACAGGAAAACAAATGAGATAACAACTTCGTCTTTTCTGCTTACCTCATTTAATTAATCGCTGAAATGAAATTTCAAATGAAGCAATACCTACAACTGTTCAACTGCATAGAAAATAAACTTTATACAACTAACTGACTATTATGATATGAACAAATAAATGAACAGATCCTAGCTTAACATGATAGTACAGAAATATGCAGGGATTTGCATGGACTAGTGTTTAAAAAAATTCAAATAGGCTGGATGTGTGACATTTAGAAGACTACTACTGGGACTCATTGATCACTAATATCTAGGATGTAGGTAGTAATCAGTAGTGGTGTATTATCTCATTATGATTGCAGCTTATTGGATCTGGTAACTAAACAACAAATGCTACATACAGAAACCTCGCCTAATTTACAAGGCGGTAATAAGGCCGGAAAAGAGGGTAGTTTGAGTGCAGGACTAGTAATCCAATCAAGTTATAAACAAATCCATAATTACTAACGCTTCAAAGCTACGTACAGGAACCACACAGTGTTGTACAGTAATGTTAACTGATGACGTTTTGAGCACAAATTACTGCTCATAATCAATATCAAGTTGATATGATTATGAGCAATAGTTTATGCTCGAAACGTCATCAGTTAGTATTACTGTACAACACTGTGTGATTTATCAAAATAAAATCTTATCCATAGTGGAGTTATGCTCTACCACAATGCCCAAGTTTTATACTTATATCTACGTACAGAAAGCTGGAGAATCCAACTGCACAGAATCTGAAAGTTAAAACACTACTACTAACACACGGGTGACGGTTCATCAGTTTATGCATTAGCCTACCAGCTACACATGGTAGAAAAGCTTCTGATACATGCCCAGGGCAAAAAAAGTGCAGTGGCATTTGAAAACGAAATTCACTGGCTAGAAGTCGACAGTTTATATTGATGAGCTATATTTCTATTTGGGAACTAATAATATTAAGTAGGTGAAAATATCACTACGAATGTAATCTATTATTGTTTAGAAATCAATGTTATCAGTATAGTGACACAATGATCAATGGATATCAGATGAAACAGGATGTCCTATAGAGTGAGTACAAACTCTAACCTATAGATGAACTTGCTATTAATTCAAAATAAGAAAACATCTGCAAAATAATATTACCAATTACCTAAAAATATACAAGGTTTGAAGAAAGTTAACACATCTATGAAATTAATGTGCGGTTGCCTACCTGCCTACCTTTCAGAAGTATAAATTCATTTCCACAGAATTTCAAAAGAAACTGAATAAGTATGTCCCTAACTATATTTTGAATTACAAATGCTGACCATTACTAAGTGGTTAAAAGGTGTGTTCTGTACACACTACTTGACACCTATCGAAAACTAAAAATAAATGGTCTTTAAATAAAACATTACTTCTCGACGGGAAAAGCAGTCTCCTCGATTAACTTAAAAAAATGACAGTTTAAATTTGGAGAAAAACACAACAATACTAAATATGAGAACGAGGATTAGAGTTAAACATACTCGACAGCTTTTCTGAAATAGCCAAGTGCTTCAGAGAATTTTCCTTCAGCTTCTAGAGAATGACCTACATTATTCCACATTTTGGCATTGTTTGGATTGACTTTAAGAGCTGATGTAAATAGACTGTATTCGTTATTCCTATACAACATCGAAATACATTAAAGCTTTCAGTCAAAAGTGACATTTTTTTTAGAAAGCAACTGGTATTCAAAAGAAAGAATTTTCAAAATAAACATCAAAAGCCTTTACTTTTTATCACTTTAAACATTTTTGTTTGTATGAGGAATCACATTAACAGCTTTCAAATACCTAAACAACTGAAATAAGTTATTTTGAATACTGGAGCAGTGATTTTAGTAGTGAGGTTTGATTATTATGTCCAGTCTAGTATAAACGATGCATTACCACATATAGACGGCCGAATCCACTTTCTATTCATCCCAGTCCAAGATAATAAGGAAAATAACAACCTGGTTATTTCAAAACCAGGAAAAGTTCTCAGGTACATATCTTCTTAAAAGTTCGTCGGATGTTTACATAACGTATCTAGAATTTTATTTCATGATAATGCTGACAATGTCGACAACCACATAACTGGTAAGGTTAAGGCAGTCTAATGCTTTGGACTCTGGAAATCAGAAAGAAACAGCACAAAAGCTGATGTAATTTTGTGCTCACTAAAGTTCCAAACTTTCTGACCTGTATATTCAGAAGGAATTGAATATTCTTACTAAAATAAAGTAAGATATCAATAGAATGTGTTAAATCACTTTGTTTTTGAGTAAACTCGACTATAACTTTTTCAGAAGATTTACTTGATACATACTACTGACTGATTGAAATGGGTAGTTGTTTATAACCCATATCAGCCAGTAGTGCTTGTTAGCCAGATAGAGGTGACCCAAACACCGGACGGTCGTTTCTCTCGTTTGAGGTCGAACTCATCAGCGGTGTACGCGTTTTAACTCAACTCAGAGAGCAACGGTGAAATTTCCACCACTCGAACTATGTAGATTGCAAATCACGAATTCGATTCAGTAGACAGTTGGATGCAAGAACAAACTGCTCACTTGTTTGCCAACTTTTCAACAGGTAAGAAAAAATATCTAAAATTTACCTCAAAGTGGAAAGGTACTACGCATATATGAATGAATAAAGCAATGGAAACAATTTTCACGGTGTATGGTGAATCCATTTTATTTATTTACTTCTTTTTATTCTAAACTTCCACAATAAATCAAATCGCTACTCATTTAGGTTATGTCAGAAAGGATTTCATAATGACTACTTATTCATTTATTTGCTTATTCATGCTGTACACACAGATGACGAAAACCCTATGAAATAAAATAAATTCATTGTCTGATGAAAAGGCTGTTTCTCACTCTACCTTTCAAGTTCACGGGAGGGAGGGGAGAGAGGAGCGGAGTTAAATGCATGAAGTACAAATTAAATAACTAGTAACACTACAACTGAACACCAAGTAAGTAATACATACTGTAGAGTTATATATTTAATGAAACATACCAATCATTGTTCCGGTGGACAGTCTTACACACAAACGCACCGATCACCAGTCCCATTAGCACTCGTGAATATTTTCGATAGTGAATATTACGTTTAGAACTAAAAGACAAATAACAATAAAATACTTTATCTAAAAAATCATTTGTGAAAAATACATGTGAACTAAAAGTTCTGGAATTTATGTCAGCAGTAGTATTTGTCTATCGAAATATTAACAAAGTGCAAACAACATTATTTGTGTGACAAACGTGCTGGGCTGAAATCGATTACAAAATATTGTAAAATGGGAGACAATGGTGGTGATTAGTCATAATACATTTGTAGAGTGTGGGTTAGGAAAATTGATGTGTTCGCTTACGTCTCCTACACATAGATGAAGCTGTTGCAATAAGGTCGACTAAACCGAAACTTTGCATCCAAAAAGAACACGTCCAGACGCTGTTCCTATCGTGGCAAAACTTGGATTGATGATTCTTCTTCTCACCAAGAGTGCTTCTTCCTTTTAACCCTCTTGGTTTTTCTCGTTTGCTTATTATTACAATTATTATTATTCGTCATAATTTATGCCCTTCATGCAAACACATTCTCTCAATACTATCGAATTTTCCATTTATACTATCCGGACTTATTAGTAGTGATATTATCTCTTTTCTCAATACATGCCTTCACCTGTTTCATTTCACACATTCGTTATTTCATTATGAACCTCTCATTGCAGTCTTACTATCTCCTGTCTAATACAGACCATTTTGTACTAGCCACTCACCTGACACCTTTTATAACCTTGAACTGACTTGCCAATTTTCCTACTCCACACTCTACAAATGTATAAAACAACCTTATGTTGAATTTTTATTCATATTTTACTTTAGAAACGATTCCACTGAAGTGTTTACTCAAAATCTTAGGAAATATTTCAATAAATAATAGCTATTGCATACAGGAGTACATATTAGTAAGGAATGTGAACCAAATCATCTTTTAAAAGATTTAAAATCTAATACAGAAGAGCAAAATATTCGGAAAATTTCGGCACACTCACAGTTAATATGCAAAACATCAACCAGAAGAGTAGTATTCCGTGTTCACGAAAGCTACACTCAATATATATATATATATATATATATATATATATATATTACTTATAGAAATTAAAGCATCTTCGTGTGTTGGAGAAAATGACTAGTGGAACATTTGTGAAACGTAATCGATATTGAAATAGACAAACATTTCAAACAACTTTTATAATTTAATGGAAATAAGTAAGATTCATAGGCTTTTTGACATCACGGAAGTTGGAAAATAAGATACATTAATAATTTCAAAACTGCAGCATTCATTTATGTGGATTTTAAGCTAATTACGATAGAGATTACAGTCAGTACATTAAAGGAATCTTTAGAAACCAGAAAATGCTGGATATTTGTTTGTTCAATTTCCAAACTTTTCTTTGTATTTGTTTTAATATTTAGAGAACCTCAACGAGTAAATTACGAGGACCCAAGACTAGGACATATTAATTTATAAGTCCTACCTGATTTCCAAAATCCTACCAAAGTGACATAAGTTTTTTAAAGTTAACGATTGAAATCCATGAACTACCTTATAAATTACTTAAATGAAAACATGACTGGAGTGAATTTACACGGATATGGAACCAACAGAAAATTAATCTGTTGGTTTATAACTATTACTGAATGTTCAGGGTAAAGCATTATTTAGTCATTAGATGGACTTTACCTGTGCATTTTCTTTGTTTCCAGTGGCCTTGGTTGAGCCATGTTCTTTGTTTGAAAAGAGGTGGATCCAGTCAGATTTTCATAACCCAATCCAATAAGTAAACAAAAACCGAGACTTGGTGTGTACAAAACCCGTTCAGCAACAACAAAGCCAACGGGGAAGAATAAATTACTAGCTGGGATAAAAGGGAATACCATCAGACTTAGTGCCTACACAAAGGAAAGAAATTGAAAAAATTAATTTACTGATGGTAACAATGTACGGATTACCTCACAAAAGAGCACGAGTGAGTAACTTTACTGAGGTTGACGATACAAAATACCTATTTGTGATCTTAACTGACTATTGATAGACTTTGGGGAAACAAAAACAACTACATTAAATGCGGCAGCCTTTATTTTTGATAAATGTAACCAGTAAATTGCAGTGGTGAAAATTCTAAGATCATTTTCGAAATACCATTATAATCCTTAAAACATACATCTTTTAGAAACACTTGGTGGTTCCAAACCAATGGCATTAAATTCATAAAGTACATACTTCACCAAATTGAGAGGGCAAAAGCGGATGCTCGGCGCTCTTCACCGGGTTGACTGTCCATTGGATGACAGTCTAGGGGAGATGGCTAAACCCTGATTCCAAACCTCCAACGACTGGCGTATGAAGCTCACTGGAGCTCACCGGCAGACGTATGGACAAAGGGCTTGTTGGATGTCCTGGATGTCTGGCCCCATTCAAAAAGGCGTGTGAACCGAACTCCGGTCACCGGCTGCCAATGGATAGTGGACTCCCTACTCCACTCCTACTGCCTTGTAGGTCACACTTGGTTGTGTAAAGGCTAGAGCTGCACTCTCAAACAAAAGGCCGAGCGATTCTGGGGACATCACTCGTACCAAATTCTCATGAAACTTAATGAACTCTTTTGATGTTCATGAAGCCGGCTCATCCTCCCGTAGGAGATAGCCGAAGTAAAGTAAGTAAGTAAGTAGACACATTTGGTAAGCAAACACTATCTACGGTATGATTTACTCAGACTCCCGAATATTATTTTTGAAATAAAATACTATGGCTAAATGAAATACACTGTGCCGCTTGGCAGACTTATCGACATAGCCTGCAATGATACATAAGACAATAGTACAAAAACTGCTAATACTCCACCAGAAGTGTTGTTACAGAGCACAGATATTTCGATATCTGCGTACATCTGACCGTTAATCATTGTACCATGCAGAAGAGACGACCAAAGTTATACAGCTTGCAAATCTTTTATGATTACTAATGTAACGGCGTTTGAGCCATCTGTCAGCAGCGTCTCAAGCACTGCTATCTCCACCATCAGACCTGGGATACCCACCAACACAGCAAAGGCTCCGAAACCCAACGGGAAGCTCCGCATACCTCCCTCCTTTACAGTTACAAGTCACAAGATCCTCATTAATCGAGGGCTGTGACATCAAATGTAGGCAGAATACAGTAGTACTTGGTAGGAGAATAGTCTTTTTGGCATAAGGAATATACAATGATGGCAAAATACAGAAACCTTAAGCTGAAATCTTCATTCGTACATCTTCATCGTATTACGCTTCTTTTGTCGTCCTTTTATGTTGCCCACGTTGTTTCACATAAGCTTTTGATTTCTGTTTTTCGCCATTTAATCTGTTGCTTTTCTAATGAATATTTTTTGCGGAAGACATCACGCAATATACTACTCTCAAAGCCTTTACAGTAACACGCGCCAACTAAGACGCTACGCATAACTGCACAAAGTGATTGTTCTTATCCTTCAATTCAAATAAACTTACCTCTGACAGAGTGAATCCAAAATTCAAAGGAAGGTAATGAGATCCTTATTAACCAGACCAATATATTAAGGACTGTCGGATGCCTTAAACTCAAGTTTATAGGCAAAAAGATTCAAGACTGTAATGCATTTAAAACTTAATATATCTGATCTAATGTTAATTTGATATAAATGGAAGTATAACTGAAAACTGAATTGTATAATGTGTATTATAAGTAGGTATATGGGAAGAGATAATATAGTATCAAGCTTATCACAAAAATATATTGATACTTTTTGAATAATACGCAGGATAAGATAAATAGTGCCAACAGAATTAAAGACTTAAAAGCATGTACAAACGGAAAGTAGCTGAATGTTATACCAGTATTGGATTGCTTTATTTAATATAGCACACGATTCCTACTCAGCATGCTACGCATTGATCCCAATAAATCTCTTTTCACAGAACTAACGCCTAACCTTCATAAAAGGAATGAATTAACAGTATTTGTAGGTAAGTGAGAAATATGATCACCACTAACGGAAAACAGTGGAAAAACAGAAACTGTGTTTTGATCATCATCAGTATATAATGCCACTTTTTTGTGCACTATATTAGGTAATTAATTTAACATGCATACAAACTCCACGGAGATGCACGAATTCTCCTTACAAACAAGTGTGCTAGAGAAGGGAGTACCTCTATTTCCTTCAGACATGATACAATAATAATATACAAAATATTTTTAAATAAACATACCATAAATATGGTTTTACTTTGATTTGAGGGTGTTTTCCAACTGAGGGAGATTAATGCAAGTAAAGAAATGAAACCAAAAGCAATTAGCGTCAAAATATTACGTGCATCTGTCCAACCATCAATGAGTTTAAGACTTCCCAAAGTCCAGTCAGCACAAAGGTTTGACGGTAATATCAAGAGACCAAGATTTACAGGAATCAAATACAGATGAGTGAGACGGCGAATTAGCGGAGGCGCGTGTGCAGCTGGGTTATCAAATCTACAAATGAAATCAGTGTTATCAATTTAGAAAATTATCAAATAGCAGTAGCTTCACACATGAAATATATTCACAAGACACTCTACAGCTAAAATAACATAAAACAAGTAAAAGTAATAATAGAGATATAACATAATAATGCTATTTTTATTTTCATAAGCTACAGAGAAGATAATATGCGGATAGCTGATTACCAGTGACTAAGTTACAAAGTGATGCTTGCACTGTGAGTAATAATACACTCGTAGGACACAATTCAGTTTGCATCAACAAAGAGTTCGTTGACTATTTAGAGCACATGACTATCATTAGTTGCTTCCGATGTACTGTCAACCAACATGAATGAAAGTTAAAGTATTATAAGATATCAAGCAAACTAAGCTGCTTTATGAAATCACCCACGTATTCTGGAAATGGTGCTTATTAAGGACCATAAGAAGTAGCGAACGTAAAATGAAAACGATTGTCATATTTGTTTCGGAGATACTTATCTTAAGCAATTATTCAGAACACGTGAAAAGTAAGACAGCCTAAATTTACTGATACATTACTTACTTACTTTACTTAACTTCGGCTATCTCCTACGGGAGGATGAGCCGGCTTCATGAACATCTCGAATCATGGTGAGAGTCGTTTGTGAGGGAGTTCATGAAGTTTCATGGGAATTCGGTACGAGTGATGTCCCCAGAATCGCTCGGCCTTTTGTTTGAGAGTGCAGCTCTAGCCTTTACACAACCAAGTGTGACCTACAAGGCAGTAGGAGTGGAGTAGGGAGTCCACTATCCATTGGCAGCCGGTGACCGGAGTTCGGTTCACACGCCTTTTTGAATGGGGCCAGACATCCAGGACATCCAACAAGCCCTTTGTCCATACGTCTGCCGGTGAGCTCCAGTGAGCTTCATACGCCAGTCGTTGGAGGTTTGGAATCAGGGTTTAGCCATCTCCCCTAGACTGTCATCCAATGGACAGTCAACCCGGTGAAGAGCGCCGGTCACAAAAAAACAATTTTTTTGTTGATAACTACTTTATATAAAAACATCTATGCGACGCCAAACAGACGATATGAATTACCATAAAAGCGAGTTCATTTATTAGATTTTTAATTTAAGGCGCCTAAATAAAATTCACACTAGAATTTATATTCTTTCCAATCTAAAAATACATAGTTATAAGTGCAGTCCTCTCATTGAACCACAAACAAACACAACACGCAGTTAAATACTCGACTGCTTCTAAGAGTGCAGTAGTTGATAAAGACCGATCAGAAGAAACAATTATTACCAAAATTACAATATTAGTCAGTTAATACAAGATGAAAAACACACTAATAAGTCACGACTACATACGGGAAAAGTAGAAGCAAATATTTTAGTATTCAAAGTTGTCACCTACTCTGTAAAATGTGGTAACTGTCCACCCATTATACGTATACGTGCAAACATAACAGCAATGACGAACAGAAACAGGATAAAAATCCTGTAGACAGGGGCATAAGAGGTCCATGAAGGACGTAGTCTGTAAGCGCTAGGAATAACTTCGTTCAATATCCCAGCCTTTTGAGAAGTCTTTTTCTTGAAACTAGGAAACCAAAGTTCAAATCCACATGACAAAGTTTTCTGGAAGGGTAAGTGTACTCTTTTAAAAGCTTACCTGATAAACTTTGAAAAGTTCATAAGCAAGGAAAACACCAAAAACTGTAATGCATTGTTCTTTGGAGAATGTCCCAATACATATTAAAAAGCCGACTATCAGGATATTGACGATATAAACCCCGAAACCTGTGAAAATACATGAAAATTTCCTCAAGGACTAGTTTACAATGACGACAAAAAACAGGTAGATGAATTGGCCTCATTCAATATAAAGTGAACAAATAAAAATACAAATGTTTTCTTTCAAAGTAAAATCTTATCTATAATGGATGCATATGAATATTGCCTGCTTGCTGAACCTTTTCCGAACAACTTCCATAAAAGCCCAGAAAGATAGTACTCATCATATCGCCTGCAAGTTGACATAAGTAGTACTACTAATAAAGCAATGAAGTGAGTGATAATAATTGTGCATAACTAATTTCCTTCAAATTAAAATTCACCTGTATCTGTCAAACAACTTCAATCACTGATCATACTAGTTCGAGGCAAATGGAATTCCACATGAGAAAGAAGAGAATGGGTTCTAGAGAAAATGTTCATCACGACATCTTACTAACAAAAGCCTGAAATAGACTCGAATTGACAAAAGGTAAACGAATGCGAATGAGAAGTCTTACTTGGACTATGGCATTTGTCCAGTGCACCCATATATAACAAAACAGCAGACAGAAACATAACTGAGGACAGAAGTTCAGCTCTCCCAACAACACCAGTTACCTAAAACCTTTTAAAAATGAAAGAATATGCTTACAGCTTCTGTATGAACAGGATGGGCTGAGAAAAGCATAGCACTCAACAATGCTGCCTCCTTTCGTAGGTAGCACAAACACAATCTATAGGGTTAACTTTGAAGGGGGGAGATACTTGTAAAACAAAAGTACAACAATGGTGTGGAGAAGAATATTAACTGCATGATAACCAAACGGATTCAGCTCATGTAACAAAAAGTTAGCTTTGAATGTAAGGACAGTGAAGGGTCTGTAAGACTTGTGACTCCTTTCCTATTTAAAATAAATATATCACAGGACTTAGCTAACCTCAGTCATAGGAGTTCCCCAAAAGTCATTTTTAAAAATTTCAAGCAAGCTCGCAGACGGACGCAAGTCCTGATTGTCTCTAACAGCTGAAACATCATCGAATACAAAACCACAGCCAAGAGAATTGTAATATATAACAGAATTCAAGATAATGAGGGCGAACCCCTCCAAAATACTGAGGAACCACATTTTTAAATCTCCTCCTTCCTGAGGTCGCTGTTGATGTCCTTGAGTGTAACGAATTAAACCAAATTGATTCGTTGGGATTAAGGTCAACAGTAGAGAATAGACACCAACTTCGGACGAGCTTGAAACAATTAGTCAAATTCTTCTAGGCGAAAAGTAGCATTTAGTGAATAAAAAGGTGTGTTAATAAGATATATGCGCAATAGAAATGAATGATACAGGGTATATATCTCTATAATGCTGGAAAAATTTGTCCCAGTTTCTCACAGGATCTGTTAAGGATATATCAAATCAATTTCGATAGAAAAACCCATCTAAGTGGCTATATACCATACCATTCTAGTACATGTTTTCATGTGGGCCCATAATCATTCAATATAATTTGTATGGGTTCCACTTATAGGATCCACCAATTCAGAAGAATGATTGAATTTATAGTTAATATGACCTAATGATACCTATAAATAACGTCTTCACTCATCTGTGTGAACGGTAGTGCCTGAGAGGACGTCAGTACTTTTGTTTGAGATGCGTTCTACCGATGCTTTTCGAAAACTTGAGCCGTACGGTCCCAGCACGCAAACGTCATATGCTCTTCTCCCACCGAAACTTATTTTCCATACAATAAGTATTTTTCACCAGTATGAATGACGACAATAACTCCACCAATTACAGAAGTAATTCCACTTATTTTTCATTAGGCAGTACACTGACAGCGTTGATAACACGGCACTGTTGCAGTTTTAGTCATCTCTGTTTCTGCAGCCGTAGCAAATACTGGTAGCTTCGGGTGCCAGTTATGGCATATACGCAATATCTTACAGGCGGAGGGTTTTGATTTCCAGAAGAAAGTGTCTAAAGAATCACCATGATGTACAAATTACCAACTCTTACAAACTTCCTCTGAATGCATAACCATCAACATTCTGGTAATACGTTTGCAGAGTGATTATCCCTCCATATATGCATGTCTTAGTCCTCCCTATCAACCTATTTGCCACAAAGAAGTCAAAACCGAATCTCGGTTAAGCTTGAAACGGAGATTACGAGCAGTATCCATTTGTAATGCTAACACTACATGGTCGGTCGGTTCAAGGACATTTGACTTTGGTGTGTACCGTTTACTTTCGCGCCAGAATGTAGAATTCGCTTGAATATAGCACAAATTTTTCGCCTGTGGTTAGGGTTTAACACTGCTGTGATAGGAATTAGTCGTTCCTCCCTATAATGTTTCGGTGTGCTAAAAATAAAGGATTTTTGGAAGCAAATAGAGACATTCACGAGTTCAGACGACAGAGAGGTAAAAGCGGCAAGGTTCTGGGGATCACAGTGGGAGAGTTTATGCACCAAGTTAAGTTAGATGAGCATGGTTTGGTAGTTAAATCTCCGCTTGGTCTTCTGATGAATAATCACTGCTTGCTACGATGGAGCCAATAGTGAATTACTCGTTTTGTCAGTCTCCTGGGGCAACACCGTCTTCTTGTGATCATGCTAGCAGTGATCGGTCCAGCCACTTGCCGGGTGGATTGCTTACACTCTTTTACCCAACAGCCGAACGTAAAATTCCATTACCTCACTTGTTGCTCCACAGTGCGACTTTTCAAGAGAGATCTCTGATTAGACAGTAGTGGGCCAAAAGTGTTTTAAGGGACAGGTGTTGCTGGTTGATTACATCGAGGGACTGCTACTGATGGTGTGGGCAGTTGGTGACGACGTAGGTGCCGTCTGACCATCAGTTCTCCAGGCTTGGAGAACAATGTTGTGCTGATTTTTATTTCAACCCAAGTCTCAATAGACTTACAACGTTCTGATGTATTATTGATAGACACAGTTTTTCTTATTCAGGAAGATATTTTCGGCGATATACTAGATTATGATTCCTTTATCCAATATCCAACAACCAACTGGATTTCTTTGTGCTTGCTTCTTGACTGTGAGTTAAAGTTTCTGGGTTTTCGGTAAACTTCTGTGTAGTTCGTCCCGCCACTCGACTGTCGTAGCTTTTGCTGACTCCAGATTGAGTGGTGCTGGGATTAGTTATATGTTGTTTGAAGTATGTGGTGTGTTAAGACCGTGTTGCTACTGCTAATGGAGTTGATCCTTTCAGCAGTTGGTCCTCCAGTATCGTCGTCAAAAGATAAGATGTTATAAGTAATAATAACAGATATAATTAATGTGGGTTATTCATACTAAAAGACAGAAAAAGAAATAAAGAAAACGAAAAAACAGACAGCTAGTTCATTAAAACACTTCTTTTAGTCAAAACAAATTGGGGCTGTGAAATTTACTCTTCGATGATTTTTCCAGCCTAATTTATTACTCATAATCATATCAAGGCACCAAATGACTTTTTCAATACATTACCTACACCTCAACATGACGTCCGGTCGTCTGACTCTAACAGCATTTACGCTGTGTGAAATCTGCTTGTCCTGAATCTTTGATACGCTACAGGAAACACGTTATTCTCATTAGGATGTTTCCTAATATGGTCTAGAACTACGTAACCAGTTACCTGCGCATCTGCAATACGTGACTTTTATCTACGACTACAATTAAATAGACTGCTAGGGGTACGAAGGAGGGATTTCGAGATGAATGGCTTGATATCAGCGTATGCTCAGAACTTCTCAATAATGTGTTCCTGCTCCCGCGTAGAATCATGATGATATCTTTATCCAATGCACAGTACACTTTTTACAAGGTGATATTAACCAAAATGCCTTCTTTGGACTTGCCACTTGGCTTTAGGACGAAGGTTAACCACCTGCAGTGGACCTCGCCATTTTGACACTGCAGCTTCTGCTGACTCTGACAGGATCGGTGTGGAGATGAGTTATGTGAGGTTTCCAGTATTAGGTGCGCTGTTGCTGTGGATGCAGTTAACCATTTCATGCGTCTACCGTCCAGTGAGGTTGAAAAAGAGGACGGTAACTGTAATAGATACAACTAATGAAGATTACCTAGACTCAATAAGAAAAGTAGGGAAAAATGGGTAGGTAATCATATTTAACGATGAAAAAATTAAGTGAATGGACAAAGTAGTCAGCAGAGTGCTATAATGAAGAATGAGCAGTTGTAAAGATGAGCTTGGAGGTATATCCATGAGTTGAATGGTTTGCAAGGCTTAAGACAATACCATTTGAACACAACCTTTGTGTTTCTACATGATTATCCAAACTCCGCTTTCTACGAACAGGGCAGGAGCCACAACTTCTGATAAATGGCTACATGGACGGCGAAAACGAGGTGAAAATAAGTGGGAGTGTAATCCGGGCTTTGCTTTCTGATCGTAATAATTTGATGGAAGTAAACTTTGTTTGGGTGATTCTGGATGTTCTTGATCTTGCAGGAAGTAACTTCTTTGTTTGAAGCAGCCAAAAGTGAAGAGCTTTATTTTTCTCAATCTTTAACCATAAAGTCTAATCCAGTCACCCATCACCTCTTTTGTCGCACATCTTTGGACCATTTCTACGAGGTTGATGTCCCTAAATGTATATGCATGAAGTGTCGGACCACATATGCTTTCCTGTCATCGTCAGGACGATTCTCGTTGATATCCTTTTTCCTTTTGAACGAAATATAAGTAGTACTCTGACACTGTACCGGACAAGATTTCATCATGCAGTGAGTAAATACTGTATGTGGCGTTTGGGCATATAGGCCCGCAAGTATGCATTTTTTGAAGTAAAAAGATATACTATTAGACCGCGTCTGGTCTTCCAGAGTTTTAAGGTCCCTCTGTGAGCTGTCTGAGTCTCTCAAAAACTGTTGCTCTAAAATCTTTACGTCGTCGGTATGAAGAGGTGGTCCGGTTAGACGCCATGGCAGATCAGTGATGATAAGTCAAAAACATAAGGAGTCATGGAATAGAACCCTGCGAACTTCCCGATACCGAACTGTGACAGGACAATCAAATATAATTGCATTGTTAATGTGCGACGTATCCACTACATTTCCGCTTGGTAACTTGGCAGTGCAACCCTTGTGGCTTAGAGCAGTAACAAACAAAACGATGTTAAATTTTACGTCAAAGGACAAAGTAAGTGTTACAGCCACTTCCAAACCAGTGAGATATTGACCACTTAGGCCTCACGAAGTACACACCCTTGGTAAGTAGGTTTTCTTTCCGACATGAACTAGTACGAACTTTTAGATTTGGGCGCGTGATCTTGTCAGAATTACGCGGAAACGGCTTTCCATCACTCCAGACGCATGTGCTATATTGGTCCCTGAGTTCTAGATTTGCTCCGTGGTTAGCCTGACTGTTGAAGAATAATCTGATCAACACTTGTAGAGTTGCCATGTAAACCGAGGTATTCCTCTTGCTTGTTGAACATGCTGCGAGCCTTTGTTCAAACACGAAGAATTATTCATGGGTTGTGGTGTGACCAGGGGGATGGCACTTGTGGTCGCTTTGTGAATGGTTTTGTCCATCAAAGTAAAGCGGATAATTATGATTTCGGTGTCAGTAAAGGTATTCAGGTTTCCGTCAAGACGGCTGTCTTGTGTTACAGATACGAATATTGGGACTTCGTTTCTCTCATTTTCACTCCCAGTCCCCTGACACCATTATGGGGGCCCTGGACCATAAATCCCTCTGTTAAATTTGGCGTAAACCAGCACCACTGTTGCAAGCACTAGTTGTTGAAAGACACAAGAGAATGCTGATCGCTCTCCATCACATTTATTTAGGGAGCCCATATATTTTCTCGGATTCTGACCCTCTTCTGTGAGGTGCAGCTCCACCATTACTGACGGTTTGATGGTGGATACTGATCTCAGTTGACTGCCCTCTAAAGATTCAAGGTGATTTCCCCGGAAACTAAGTGCTGGTGATGCAGCGTAGATTTGTCGTGTGCTCTTGACAAACCCATATGCCAACGTTTATTCTGTCATTGCCCACAGAAGTCCTGAGAGATACCAGAGCTGCAGGTCTAATATGTTCGATAACAGGTGCTCGGTTTGCAATTTTGCTGGTGGTTCGGCAGAGAATCAGCCTACAAGAATAAGTTGCTATCAGGAAACAGATTGTCAATCCCACTTAGACATGTGGAGTTATTTAGCACAGCAGCATATCCATTAGCGCGACCGAATGAGGTAGGTCCTGCTATAAACGTAAGGCTAATACTCGGGACAGTTATCTAAGACTATAAGATTCCACGAAATATGACATGAGGATGGTCATTAGTTTTCCATGACTTGGTCTTCAGAATATGAGTTTGCAATGATCCGGATCCTCGAATGATGATGAAAGTCTGGCTGTCAATACAATAACTAACACTACTCAGGGGCAAACTGGGAAATACAGGATCTTATATCAGTCCCAACACTGGGAGCAATGAAACTACCGCTACTACAGATTTTAAAGGAAATTTTTAAGAAGCATTTAGACGCAGGAGCTTGAAACCAAGTCTTTCGGGAAAAATGCTGATTTTCGGACTGCCAGGAGAAGTTTTGTTTAAAATAATCAAAATGCATTACATTTGCTTATTGCGTTTTTTTGTCATGAATTGCTAGTTCACATTTCAGGCCAACTGCGGAGCTTCATCATTTATAAACATTATTGTCCCTTAATTCTGAATAATTTTTCATGATCAGTGGTAAGGTCAAACAGGATGGCTGCTTTATGTTAACTTCTACTGTTATCCTTAAACCATTACTATGATGGAATCACTGCATGAGTTTTAGTGATTTTTCTCATACGTTTTATATCCAGTGGATTCCCACTATGTAAAATTAAAAGGCTTTTTTACTATTGCGCCGGAAATCATTTTCTGTCACTTAGTTTATAAAAATAGATACTCTGACGGAATACGCTTACAACTGAAACGCGAACAAGCCTCGGACAGTAAACAGAAAAAAATCATGTGATTTCAGTGAATCCAATTAAGCTGGATAAAAGCCGAATCCCAAGTTGAATGATGTGATGTAAATGTGAATAAAATCTTCTAAAATGGCTAACATGAATGACTACAAATATTTAAATATGAAACCAATTCGTTTTATATCCATTGTGAGTAATACACTCGAGTGTAGTACAGATTTATAAACCTGTTAATTTCGTGTTTTTCGGAAAAAGTGCTTTATTGATTTCTCGAAGATTGTCAATTTCGCATAAACATGGCCTGGAATGGGTACTCAATAGGTATTCATTCTGAATGCTAGTTCAGGTTTTGTTTTCAGTCACAAGTGGTTCATGCAGTAGTAATTTTTAAGTGCAGTACTCTAGATTAAGTTGATGTCACTGCATTCTAGAGGATTATTTGTCCTACTAATTAATAACGAACAGCTACTCTGAATGTCATCTGAAAGTTGACTACTTTACTCTCTAATCTGTTTATATCCTTCCAAGAAACTGAATAGCAAATCATTCTTCGGAGAATGTTTAAATTTGTTTGGTGTATGAGCAGATTATTCCGATGATTAAACCGTGCTGTGTCATCTGAGTCACAGTAGGTTTATTGGTAGCATTTGGAACGAATATTTTCTCATGTATGCTATTAGCATGTGTATGACTACCGTGTTTCCATGGTTTCTGTTATTTTTACTTTTACAGCAGAATGCCTTTACCTCTAATCTCCGTACTGCTAGTATTCAGTTTATGTCATTTCGGCAAACTTAATTCACAGCAATTCAACCCAAAACGTTCATTCACTATAGACTACGGAAATCATGTTTTCATGAAAGATGGTGCACCTTTCCAATACATCTCTGGGAGTATACATTACTCCCGCATTCCAAAAGTTTACTGGCATGATCGACTTTATAAAATGAAGGCTTCTGGATTGGATGCTATTCAGATGTAAGTGTAAATCCCTAATACAAGTGTTTTGGTGTCCATTTTTTGACCTAATGCAATGGTAAAGTAATATACGATGCTCTTTGCACTTTGCAACACTTGTGCATGTAAGTAAGTCAATAAATACGGTTTTAGAAGTGATATTTTTGATCTCGCGCAATTTGTCACACATGTTTTCATCACCTAAGAGATATTATAGCTTCGTACATTAACTATTTATAACTCACTTTTATTCGCCTGCTTCTATTTGACTGATTGTTTTGACATAGAATAATCGATTAACAGTAGGTTTAAAGTAACAAGAGAAAGAGCTGATGTGGTCCACAGAAGAGTGTGTTGAAGCGAATGTGACCATAATGACAGGATTAGTTTGAAAGTAACCGCTAAAGTTTCCATAATTCAGTTACCTAAACAGTGAACTACCCTTTAGATTTATTTGTAGTTCAGCATGATCAGTAATTACGTAGCAGACTGATTCTTTTTTTAGTCTGACTTCTTCCAAACCTTTCCCCTGTTTGTTTTTTATTGATATGAATTATCAATATTGAGTTGTCCCACAACTCGTAAACAGTTATGCATATACCTAAGATTTTTCTTATGAACTAGAAATATCTGGTGTGAAACTTTAGATTAGTAGTACTGAGTTTATTCTCGTAGTATATTCGATTACCGTTCAAATTTCACCAAAATCCCTAAAATAATATTTTATCGATTTTGGCCTTTTTATCCTGATTAAGAAGTATAGAAATCTAAATAGGTATCTCACAAATATTACTTTTATAAGGTCTTTCGGTAAGTCTACGGGGAAATGTGTACAGGAAGCTATCTTAATAATGCTACATGTTTTATGCCTATGGTGTGGTAAGTTCATTTTAGTGCTGTGGTGTTAAGCAACTGTAAATTATTTAGACGTTTAATTGTTATTAGGTTTCGCTTACTCAAAAACGTTTTACGGACAAACAATAAAATTTTTGTAAATAATAATTTAATTATGTACATTATGTGTGTTATTATCAAATACTTCATGATATTTTAAATATGCACTGTATCATTTGTGATATAAATTTCCTTCAGTTATGTGCCATGGAATTTTCATCAGCCTGAAGAGGACATATTCGACTTCACTGGAGATCGAAATCTGACGGAATTTATAAGCCTGGCATCATCATTAGATCTTCTAGTAATAGCTCGAGTTGGACCTTACATTTGTGCTGAGTGGGACTTTGTAAGTAAAAATTAGGAATAAATGGCATAAATGATATTTAATGGACCATAAATTTAAGAAATTAGCAAAGATTACGTTTTCTATCCTAGGGTGGACTTCCAGCATGGCTTTTGCGGGTGAATCCACTGATGGAAATACGCAGCAGTGACCCGGGTAATTTTAAATATATTCACATGCTGTACTTTATATATGTAGCAGTTGTTTGAAAATTCTAGCACAGATAGATGGATTCATCTATCATTCATTGTTGAATTATATTTTGCTATGACGATTTTTCAGCTAGATTCTTGTTAATAATAACTAAATTATTTCCATTGTTACTTCGTAGTTATAAAATTTATAGTGCTGATTTATTCTGTTATTTTATGAGTTGTGCAAAGCCACATTTAGAGGAGTATGTTGCTACTTGCTAACTTAATGAAATAAATGTTAATGGTTGTTTGACAAGGGCATCTTGTAAATGGAAGTGGTACTATATTTTCTTATCAAGATAAATCTGTCGCAGTCTATCAGGTCCTAGAGAATTGTATTTATGGTAAAATAAAAACTCTTATCGTTTAAACTAGGACAGAAGTGCAGTATAATGTTTAACCGCTTTATTTATAATTAAAGCGTTGGTAAAAGATAAATACAAGACGTGTATTTATAAAAAGATTAACTGTTTAAACTGGTAGAGAAGCAAGAATGAAACCCATGTCACCAGTAATATCGATCTTAAGCAACACCATTTAGTTATTGTCACCCAATTATTTCCGATATAGTGATATAGTTCGCTACAAAGTTTACACTGTTGATAATTTAAAGTACCTATTAGTAAGCAATTATGTAGATGGTACTAGCTACCAAAAATGTTTTTGTCAAACCCCTTCTGCATCAGTCTTTCGTGGACAACCTCAGCATAACATGATTTGGTTAGGCAATATTTTGTGTTTCTCTGACTTCACTCACGGTTGATTGGCACAGCTGACAGTAAGACAAATAATGGCAAGTTTTTTAAACTATAATATTATATAGCAAGTTCACAGTTCTTATTCATGATGAATTGTGAGCCCTTAGTGAGCGATATATTTGAATCAAGTGTTTTCCAACCTTACATAATAGCACAAATAGAACTGTTCAAGAAAAGAAACCAAGATTTAAACATACAGTTACAGAATTTTCCCAGAAGTAGTTTTTGCGTATAAGCTCTCAAGAAAGCAAAAATATTCAAGTGTTTCTTTGTAGGGATTTGATTTGTTTGAAGTCTGATCACTAATTGATATCAGTTAGAGAACCATTGAAAACTAGGAAGAACAGCACAGCTGTCTCGTCCTAGTTTGGGACTTGTCAGCAGTACGCACTCACGGGGTTTTAAACCGAGGACCTTCTAACTACAAGGCAAGTTTGTAGACTATTAAGCTTCTGAGACCTGACACAATGGCCCATGAATTCTAACTTCAACTAAATCGTGATTTTAACGCGATTACCAACCAATATCACTGGCGAGTAATTGCCCTCACTCTTGACCAGTTGGACCCCACTATTCATGACTTGTCACTAGAACTCCAGAGAACTTCGTCCTGCAACCGGTTACTAGCGAGCATCAAATTAATTTTCAAGAGTTTCTTTGTAGGGACTCGAAACTAAAATTAATTTATCTAAGTAAAATTGTTCTAACTTAAACATTTTTCTGAATCTTAGGTAATACAGTCAGCCTCATACAACACAAGAGGAATTGTGGTAACATTCATGAATAGTACCAATGAGTTAACAGTCGTTCATGGCTTTATCAATGGTGTTCCTTACTTGATGCCGAAATTTAAGTATCACTCCAGTTTGTTTGCAATGTATTACGTTACTTGGACACACTTGGGGGGGGGGGAACCTAGCTTTACATTCTGAATTCTGTGTGGTAAGGTGCCAAACAACAACTGTGCCTCATAGTCTGGTAAATAAAAATATACCGAGAAATTTAGTTGCATTTATAGTTAAATAAATAGGATATGATCACTTTAATTTTCAAACGAGACCTTTGAAGAAGAATACCAGGGATATATTAAAGCTTTTGTGATTTTCATTTTTACTGAATTGAACCTGTTTTACAGGTAACTCTTAGAACAAACTTTGTTTTCTGAAAATATTTCCTACAGAATATATGAAGTATGTGAGACAGTGGTTCAACGTTCTATTACCCAGCATTAAACCCTTATTATATGAAAATGGGGGACCAATAATTATGGTGCAGGTAAGCCAGTGCGTAACTAAACTTTTTTATAATAATTTATGCTGTAATTGAGCATACAAGGGCACCTGGTCTACTGAGGATCTGATCAACATAAAGGTGTGGTAGGCAAATAAAAATCTGTCCCTGAGAGTGAGAATACTGATGCATGCTTACTTCAATAATGATTACCTGCGAATCCTGATGACTGACTCATTTTCCTGTGGGGACCAGTGTAATTGACCTACAGTGGGATAGCTGTTTGAGACACACTGACTAGAATTTGGACACATTTCAATGTTTGTGAATCTCCTAGAGACGTATATTACATAGTCATTCCCTTCGGTGGTGTACAGAAGAAATGGCTAAGCTAATATTGTCAAAAATCACTCATTGAATATAAAAACATGAAAAAAACAATGCAATATTACCTACCAAGTAGTTATTTTCGTCCATTAGTGAAAACAGTAGACTTAATGTTTAGAAAATCGTACACTGGCTGTAGAGCCAGGTGTTAGTTTTTTGAGGGAATACGAACAAACTAGGTCAAACACTCATAGTGAAGATTGACGAAGAACCTCAAACCTTTTTTATTTTGATAACATTGAATACCTTTTACATAATTATTATGAAACATAGTAACTTAACCTCTCGTTTATAAACTCATTTGATTTCAAATTGAAATGTGCTCTGAGGATGTCTAAAAAGACAGTGAAGGCTTCGCAGCTAGACCATGGAGCTCAGAGAACACGACTATACCAACGTCACCTATCTGAGCTAGGAAAATTCACCATTAAGGTTTTGTCAAAATCTCTTCATGTTAACTCATTTCAACAAAGAAAATTTTCTTCTCTGAATTGTCTTTTATTTTCTTCACAACTCATTTCACTAAAGATTATTGAGTCAAAGTTGCTAATTAGGACAGGTGAAGTGAATCCAAGCGTACCACGCTTGGAACAAATAAATGATCATACTCCCAGGTGCCAAGCAATCCCAGTTATACAAAAATATTGCTAACAGTTATCAATACCACCTTATTCTGGACTTATGAAAGACACCTAGAGTCGATAAATTTATGAAAGTTAAAGGTTCTTATAATTTTTCAAGCATCATTTTTCAAATGAAACCACATACTACACTAATTACAACTGTATCTTCTGTAAAACTAACAGGACTTCCTATTCATATCCAAAACTTAATAATTCCATTTTTTTAATATATATTGGATTCTATAGAGCTTGGAAAGTTATGTTATGCATAAAACAAGTAATCTAAGAGCAGCTGATGGTATAAAAGTCTGTCGTCATGGCAGCATTTAGCTATGGAAATAAATATGAGTTAATTTAAATACAGTTCGATTAATGAAGCAGATGTGCTTGTACATTAAGTTGTTATATCAAGGGTTCATCATTTAATTTCTTGTGGGTGCTCAGAAACCTCAGCCATGCAGTTCCTGAAAGTTCAGTGATGACTGAGAATTATAAAACCAGCGAAATCAGTTTCAAAAATTGATAGATTCAGGAAAAACTCATACTTTTAACATCTATTTTTTCTTGTGATGACAATTCATACAGAAACTGAACTGCGGCCGTATAAATAATTTCGCTGATCTGAATTTATTTATTTTCTCTCCCCTCGTACTTATGATTTTCCATTATTTTATAATTTTCATCCCGTCTGTTCACATTCTGCGTGCTGTTTCGAAATTTCGCAGCTTCAGATGATACACTCTTGTGTAATGTTCCACACTACCTTCCAAGTCAGTCATTCAAAATGGTATTTTTTTCATAACTGTAAACGACAAACATTCAGAATGGATTGTGCAGAAAAATAGTACATAGAACGAAATAATAATAACTGTTATCCCTAGTTTTTTTCAATTTTTTAATGGTCGAACGGCCAAAATAATGTTCTGTTCTACCTTGTAAATTGTTTTTATTTCTCAGCTGGAAAATGAGTATGGCTCGTATATACCTTGTGATCAAAAATATATGACAGAATTGTATGATTTAGGACGTTCTCTTCTGGGTGAAAATATTTTAATTTTCACAACAGATGGTGCTGACCTACAGCTTCTGAAATGCGGATCGTCTGACAAACGTTATCTAGCTACAATCGACTTTGGTCCCAGTATGTTTTCTTCATATTTTGTTGTTTTTAAAATAACGCCTTAGGCCTTCGTATTACGATTTTTATCGGGTTGCTTTTTCCGATGAAAATACCTCGGTGACCTGAATTTTGTTAGTATTATTTTTTTTGTTATTATCGCCAAGAAAGTACGCTTCAGACAGTTTGTAATTCTCCAGTTTATCATATTTGCAATCCATACTACTGACACAAGCCGTCTAAAAAAGTGAATGTAATAAAATGCTATGAAATTTATTTGTTCAGTTAAATTGTACCAAACAGTGGTGGATGTGTTCAACTTCCAGCTTGTTACCATCTATTGATTAAAAAGAAGAACTGAATAGTTTTCTGCTTCGTAGTTTTATAAATGTACACAACTGACCAAAATACGTTTATAAACCTTGCGCTGATAACTTCAATGAACAGCAAATTAAGCTATATAGCGCTACCTGCAAACTCTTTGCTACGGTCGACCGAATGTCATGTGTTCATGGTAGCTGTTTATCGGACGAATAACTTGAATATTAATTGATAATTTCATATGGCAATCTTTTTCTATATTCTCTCTCAAATGATTCCCCGATATGTATAGTCCTTTGAAAAACGTGTGCATCCTCGACACTTATACATTCGTCCAAATCTAGACAAAGTTCTAAAGTGTAACACAATAAAACTGTTGCGCAGTTAGATTCTTCACTTAATCAATTGGGTATTGCAATGGCATAAAAGGAGATTACTGACTGATTGTAACAATCAGGCTCATATATGAAAGATATTAAACAAGCGTTCCTCAACACAAGTAAAACTCACTATTTAAAACACTGCATCACTAGCTTATCAAGCTGTCTGTACACAAATCAGACAGAAGTAAATATAATTTGTGTATCGACCACTAGCTTTCGACTGTTCAAGCACAGATATGTGCATGTAACTTTTTGTGATTTTCAACATGCCATTGGGATTATTTACATTAAATCAATAACGTTTGAATAACTTTGAAAAGGATTCAACTCTCCTTTTTTCTGTCTGTCTGATGGTTTAACATTTTCTTTAATGTGAAAACTCCTGATTTAGAATTACAGTCCTGATTTTGCATTAATTTAACTTATGGTCATTTTGTTCTGAGACCAATCAATAAACTCACATGATGGTCACAGACAAAAGTACAACTTACAACTCACTGTTTTCTAACATTCGGTGCTCAAAAATTAAAATTGTTCCTAAATATCTTCGTATACGCATCCGGTTGCAACAAACGAATTGAAAGCTGCAAGAAAACAGAACATTCGACTCTGTTTAAGGAAATAACTCCATAGAATCATGAAGAAACTAACTGTTATCAGACATGAGATACATCAGCTAAAGTTAAAACTCAATGTAGTAAATATCGAGCGTTACAATATCACTTACTTTCAATAAATCCAGAATAATCAAATTAAAAAGCTCAGCAGGTTAATGAAAGAACAGTAATTTGCTAAGATGAGTGACAGTAGGCTTTAAGTTTGTCGTGTTAGTTGTAACTAAATGTATCATCATTGGGTAAGATTTTATTTTGATAAAATCACAAAAAATTGTACAGTAATATTTACTGATGACGTTTTGAGCACAATTTATTGCTCATAATCATATCAAGTTACTCACATAACTTTCTTGCTTCGTTTATATATATGAGTAAAACTGATTAGACATTTGAATAAAATCAATATAAGAATTGTGTAGTACATAATGGAAGATAAAGTAAATTCGGAAATAATATTAGTGTTATCAATAAAATACAACAGGATGTGGAGTAAGACGAGTATTGTTAGTCAGTAAGTTGGGGAATAAGATGTTTTTATGGTAAAAATAAGTAACCTGTTAGAATGTTATAATGTGAATTGAATACATTTTAACATTATTTATTATCCTCTGATTTGACTGGTATTAACATCTTCCATATTTCTGCTATTTGCATTGAGTCATTTCTGTAGACCCGATGAACCAGGATTCAGTAATCAACCTTTCTCTCTCCCCACCTGCCTATATTGCTCTTTAGAATTTCGAATCTATCCCACCATATTGTGTGGTTGTATTTCAATGCATGCAGTGTGACTGTTGATTTTTTTTTAAATTACTTATCTTCTCGGGGTCAACCATTCTTGCCTTAGCTAAATTCTTATGTTCTGATAATCTCACTACTCCTGATCTACTAGTTTGACCTATGTAGTTGACCCTCCTTATAAGCAGGGTCAAATATCTAATCAATTTTTACTCATGTATGTAAACGAAGCAAGAAAGTTATGTGAGTAACTTGATATGATTATGAGCAATAAATTATGCTCGAAACGTCATCAGTAAATATTACTGTACAATTTTCGTGATTTTATCAAAATCAAAATTTCAGCCATAATGGAATTAAATTCCATCACAGTGCTCTAATTTTATCCTTATATCAGTAGCTAAATGTAGTTATCACTAAAAAGCATATATCGATTTTTATTGATATAAGTATAAAACTTAGGCACTGTGGTAGAGTATAGCTCCATTATGGATAAGATTTTATTTTGATAAATCACACAGTGTTGTACAGTAATATTCACTGATGACGTTTTGAGCACAAATTACTGCTCATAATCAATATCAAGGCACTCGCACAACTTTTCGATTTTTCTTAAGGATTTCACAAGTGTATAGTTTTAACCGAGTGCTCAATAGAAAGCACCGATATCGTGCTGTTGGTATACATATATTTAGCATCAGTTCATACAGCTCCACTGATTGACTCTATTTTTGTTGTTGAAATATTACTATATGTAGCATTAGCTCATTTTGTTAATGAAAAAAATTTTTTACACAAATAACATTCTGCCAACCGAGGGCTGTCACAAGTAGTCTCACTGTCATTTTTACATTTATCAAATACGATTAATTTACTTCCTTTGTTATTTATTAATGAAAATGCTTCACACTTTCCCTACACTGTTCAGCAACCATCCCTGTTCCCAAAGCATTCGAACCTGTAGAAAAGTTCCGAGCAAACCAACCATGGGTAAGCATTTATCTCTGTTAATACCGATGATAACATGCATGAATTTAGTATGCCTTAAAGAAAATGTTCTGTTATAATGCCAGTTGTAGCTTTGAAAAATTCAAAATTTTTATCCTCTTAACAAATAACAACTAGTTTAAGCCAATCAGACTGACTAGAAGTTCAATTTCCCTATTAAATTTCTGTAGTTTGAACTTCAAACATGGTTCAATCTCGTTCCCACAAAGCCATCAGTGCCATTTCATTTAACCTTAACTGACTGGCTTAGACTGTCCGAAATGAAATCATTAGATACCTGCAACGAAGCGAAATAGTTTCCAATTTCAATTTTAATTAAACATCGTTACACCTAACAACTGCCTATCATTTTTATGCTCTTTACTGAATAGCTTCAGTATTGGAATTTTTTAAGTTGTAGTGTTACATTTTGTTTGGATTAGTACAATATGTAGAATTTGAAAGATCATCGATAACACTAAACGGCTATGGTACTATTCGTCCTAGACGTTAGAAGCAATAGATTCTAAACTAGTTGTAACCTGACGGTTCATGTTTTGATGCTGAATGAGGCTGCTTATTCACGCTGCTGGTGAAGTAGGTACAAGCCAGAATAAAAGCCTTGCCACGTCTCCATAAAATATAAAGTTAGTCTGTTCATCCCCTGAAAGCATTGGATAAGAGTATTTGGCTATCAGCTCTTGCTTCTATTTCTGTAGAATAAATACATGCAGGGATGTGAATAAACTTGGGCGTACACTTCTTGCAACTGGTAGTTACTGAATAAATTTGTGCAAAACTTGTATTATTATTTACTGATTGTTGTATCACATTAATTTTCAGTTTGAATGAATATGTTGGATTGAATGTAATAATGTCTGCTTATTTGTAGCAAGTTAGATCACCCAGTAGGAGTTATAACTCCTATCTCACAAACTCACTAAGATTCTTAACATCAATGATGAGAGAGAGAGGCTTAATTGTCCATGTTGTGTATGAGGTGCCGGATTTCCTATTTCCGCTTATCACAAGTTATAATCAATGTTATTTGTAATTATTTACACTAGATTAATGTCATTAATTCGTGACTTCGTGGATATTGTTTTTCCTAACATAACGCAACAGATTCCACCTATATCTGTGTGTTTTCTATAATTTACAACTAACGTAACTTCGATACCGTATTGACCTAGTGCAAGTTTATTTGTCTGTGTGCGTGACTGAATTATTATTAAAATTTGTCACTGCAGTTCACTATCTAATACATTAATCTATAAGATTTTCACACAATAAACACGTGTTAGTTGTGTCTATTGGCTTTATGTTGATTGTTATAATTACTGAAAAAGTTATGTCTTAATAATCTTGTAAATTTAATAAATGCAGATATTTCGCGTATATCTCATCACTAATCAGTGTCAGTTCTGGAGTCATTGAAAACCAAAGGTATACATTTTGTTCTCATTTAAAAATTTTCATCCCATTATGAAGCCATGTGGGGTTAGGCGCTGACAGTATCCTGATTAGGAGTGAGAAAACGGTATTTGATTCTCAGGACATATTTAGTGAATTTGAATATGCTGTAAAAGCTGTGAGTTCCTCATCGACTGCTTCACTGAATACTATGTGACAGTCTACAAATTTCACTGGTCATTATAAAAATCCAGTGAAGTGTCGCGGAAGGGAAATCTACATTCTTTTAGTTACGCTTGTTTTTGTATGATAATGATAATAATGAAATCCTGTTCCCAGTCAAATCGAATCCCTGCAAACCAACACTTGAATTTCTGTCTAATACTCACTAGCGACTGACCCTATTCAGGTAGATAGTTACATATGTTCTAGTGGGAAGTCGTGATGACTGGGATATAGCAGGCCAAGTGTGAGGACAGATACTTACCGATGACATTGACTAGTAGTCGCGCTATAGCGTCAACTGGCAGTACTTGGAATTCATGGGCTTGCCAATGGATCGGGTCCCAGTAACTTAATAGTCTAAGAGTTCGCCTTGTAACTGAAAGCTCCTGGGTTTCGAACACCGGTGGGTTCGTGCTGATGAAGAGTCCCAAGCTAGGACGTAGGAAACATCTGTCCAGTACTCCCATTTTTTTTCAGTGGTTCTCTAACCGATGTCAGCTCATGATAACATTCTGTAACCAATCAAATCAAATCCCTGCAAACCAACACTTGAATATTTTCGTATTTGCTTACAAGTTTGTTAAGTGAAGGAAAAATCCTCACAAATTTTAACAATAGTTTAACGTTTAATAGTAAATTGTTTCACGAACCGGTTGAATAGTGAGTTCTGATTAACATTCTCATATTAAAAGCTTAAGATACCTGTTTAGTATTTTGTGGCGTAATTCCAAAATGTTGTTACTGCGTTTATTAATTAGATGTTATAACACCGTAAAAGCTGAACATCAGTTGTCTTAAACTATGCTGTAATTGAAAATCGTGTGCTTGGTAGAACTGGCATGTAATGATGATAGGTGCCAAAGTTGATTTCTTAGTCGACAGGTTCGTTAAGAAATATAAAACTTTGATGACCTTTGTATATTACATCTTTTATGGTGTTATAAGCATTTGACTTGATATGTTTTATTTTCTTTGCCACCCTCAATCAAACCAATAAATTGTTCCTACTTCAATCTAAAAGGTGTTTTACAAAATGTCTATTTTTCGGTACGAAATGGTATAATGAAATGTTCATAATATACTAATATTTAAATGCTCACCTTCACCTACTTCATTAACCTTCAATTCAAGGTGAACAGTGAATACTATGTCGGTTGGTTAGATGTTTGGAAAGGTATCCACAATCGAGTTGATCCTATACGGGCAGCAACTGCACTAAATCACTTGATCAGTTATTCAGAAAGAGTTAATGTGAATATGTGAGTTTATATTTTGTTTCTTTCATCTTTAAGGGCTTTTTTTCCAACAGGTTGGATATGTTCTATCAATTACCTACTGAAAGGTGTTCATTCAAGACATTAAAGAGTAATTTGTTCGTCTCCAGCTAAGATATTTTCAGTTATGTAAAGCTGAAGTTAGCTGTAACTATTAAACTTCTATTGCGAATACTGAAAACGATTTTTAAAGTCTCCATATTCATTGATACTAATCGGAATCCATTAGTTTATGCACAGTTGAACAAAATGTTAATATAGTAACATTATTAAAGGCATCCATATTAGTTGTTTATTTGTATATTATTTTTATATCAGTTTGATGCATCAATTGGACTCATTAAAAGATCTTTTAAGTTGATTTTCACCGCCTTACGCCTTTATGTTATCCTACAGATACACGTTATGAAAAATTCCCATGTCATTCAATTAAGTCAGAGTTATTGTCAGTTAGTTGCTAGCCTCATGTCCAACCTTCCCTCTTTTCCAGTCTTATTACTGGTTAAGTGAGGTAAAGGAGTGCATCGGCAGGAGATCGAACCCCAAACCACATGCGTAGTTAGCGAGCATTCTTACCACTGTGCCACCGACGCCAAAAGGAAATTAAAAATTAAAAAATAAAACTGAAAAATAAAAAATAACTACATAGAGTTTATTACGCAACTATTCAGGATGTTGAAAATCAACTCTAAGGCCACAGTAGTGAAAGAGGCTGGATAAAACGTTTCTGAAAACAAAGTTTATGTTTTGTAGGCTGCATGAAGACAGTGTAGGCGAAACTCTTTTGAACGGCTTGATCGTACTTAATATGTGACTGTGAATGAAGTCTCTAATGATGCTGCGTGACTAAAAGTAATGGTGTGTTCCGAAATTCAGCTGTTAGCTCTTCTGTGTTCTGCTTTTGACAATCATGCTGGTAAGTGTTCATAGGCGTGTCTAGACAATGTCCTGCTGGTATGGCCTATGTTTATATCAGTATTTTTGTCGACGATGAAGATATCATTGAGGTGCCACAGTTGATTGTTGACTGCAGGATACTGGACTCCAAGTACGCCATAAAGCAATTGTGGAGAACCCATTACCACTCCATCTTTCTCTCGGTATGTGTGTTCGCTGATTACCATGGATAAATTTACTTTACTAAAGCCTTAAACGATAAACTATGCCTATGGACTTGTTGAGTCTTTGGAGGAGGCGCGTCGAAGCTTAAGTAGAATTGTAGGCACATGCCTTTCCGTTGCAAATAATTTTTTAAGCATCCTGTTTAAGCTTTATGTTTGTCAATGGTTACATTTTGTAGTTGACGTACAATTCAGTCATAGGGAAAGCTAAAAGGATGATTGAGGTGGAGAAAATTTCCTTTTCAACAAAGTCATTTTTTTTTCTGCCATCGTATTTTTAATTTTTCCTGTAATCTAATGTGTATATTCCGGAATTTAGTCAGTGAACATATGAAAACATAAAGATGATACCATTTTCCAGGAATCAGCTTTTTTCTTGGTTGGTAGTACTAACTGTTGGTATGCATTGTGCAGCACTGAATCACTTAACATTTGATTTTTGTAAATTTGAGGATTTTCCAACACCTATGTGTATGATTAGCTAATTATTTCTCATACTTATATGTCATTGTCAGTGAAATATCCTTAGCCCTAAGTCCTAAAGATACTTCAGTAAGCTTCCATACCCACAATTTAAGAGAAATATGATTGGATTTCATTATTGTTCGTTGTTTTTACCTTCTAAAAGCTATATGTTCCATGGGGGAACTAATTTTGGATTTTGGAATGGTGGAGCCAGACCAAGGCCATCAATTACAAGTTATGATTACGACGCACCTATCAGTGAGTCTGGTGATATAACATGGAAGTATATGGTTTTTAGGGAATTATTATTTCAGGTGAGCATTTGTTTGATTCACTCGAATTTTACCTTGCTCATTTTCGAATCACATTTCAAATTTTCTTCTGACCTCAGATTCTAACTGTGAAATTCACTTCGCGTATTTTCGTCTCTCCCTAGGAAACATTCTGGAAGAGTGTTACGCGATGAATTAAAACACTTATAGAGTAATTCTAGATTTAAAAACACAATATTCAGCGAAGGGAATCTTTTTAACTAGTTTATTATCAACCTGTACAGTCATATATATATATATATATATGTATATATATATATATAATTTTTAAGGAAGGATATTCTGTGAGGAAATTTAAACAAAGGTGTGAATACTTATAATAATGATATTGTGAAATGTGATAAAATATTTGGGATTATTATCACAGTTCAGTATGAAGTGATAAAATAAATAATACCATACATAAAACAGTCCATGAAAAATGCGTAGATCTTGGAAAGTGATGTAAAATCAAGAGGACTAGTAGGTAATGTAACATTGTAAGGAGTTTTACTAGACAGATTTTAACATTACCAAAAATGTGTTGATTTGAGATAATAAAGAGAACAAGTGAAATAATAACGCAATCTGCTCAGAGTGAAAATAAAAATAATAAAAATCGTAATAATAAGGGAAAGATACGCGTATTAAATAAACAAAACGAAGAAAGAATAAACAAATGTTTATCCCTTTACGACCAAGGTAGAAATACAGACTGTACAGACTTCTTCAGTACTCAAATGTCTGACTTGAACTTATGAGTGGTCAAGGCCCCCTCTGTCTTTAGAAGTTTAGAACGAAGAGAAAGCGGCAAATTAGCATGAATTTGATAATGATTTTGAAATCATTGTCGGAGTTGGTAGACTGACAGAAGTCAATTTAGTGTAGAGCTTCTCACTGCACAAACTGCTATTTTTGCTCTATTCAAGTCTATAAGAGGAATTAGTATATGAAAAGACGTAAATGAACTCCAATGTATTATAATCTTAATTATCAATGTCTTATACTTCTCTCAGCTTCTGTCTATATGAACTTGACCTGTCAGACATTTTGATTGTGGTTTACTTATTAGTCATATATTTCCATATAGAGGAACCTGGATAAACATCTTAGACAGGGAGTAGAGGCATATCAAGAAATGGTTTACTATGGACATGTGAAAGTTGACAGCGAACTAGCCAACAACCTTTTGCCCAATAAACATGCAGGAGTAAGTGGAGATGAATCGGACATCCAATGACGTGACGTGACACACCAAACCCTTGAGTGGAATGCAAGTGGGCACTGATGAGTTAGAAATCCGTAAATAACTTAATGGAGATCACATGAAGAGTAAATGGGACCTTGCGGATAGTCGTAATGATAGCTGAATTTGATGACAGATAGCCAACTGGAATGGTAATGTGCTGCTGAAACTCTATATCCCACTCGAAACTCAGGGAATGAGGATGATATCTCATGTATTTCTCATAGTACGTATAACACTGAATGTGAAGTATTCAACTGAGGAATTCTACCAAAATTTAATGAATTCATTAAATCCTGCTTTATTAACATTTGTTACTTGTTTCACATATGCTAAAACTTGAATAGTGATTTGTTCTGTGTTTCGTACTTTTGTCGGCAGTTATTGTTGTGGTAAGAAACTCTGTAGTGGAGTTCTGAACCTCAAACTGGTCGAATTTATGTGTACATAGGTTGCAGGAATTCTAAAAGATCTACCTGAATGTATTTGGCAACCTGTAGGCCGATTTAATCTTCTATTTTCTATTTACATATTTACATAATGGTATCTGTTTTGTTTTTCAGAGAAAAGGTCTAAAGCCACCACAATTGCCTCAGAATACAACTAAGAAATCATACGGTAAAGTTAAAATGATGCTGGTAGGTCATTAGTTTGTCTTACCCTATTTTATAAATTGAAAAGCTTATTTTCTTAAGAAAGAATAAATATTTTAAAAAGTTCACAGTAGCAGTTAAATGAAAGGCCTGATCAGAAAGAGACGACGACCCACTGAAGTAACTGAAATGGACATTAGTAGTTAGAAGATGAAAGCTGAGTTTCGTATATCTTAGGGTGATAAAGGATAATCGTGTATGTTTTACTTGATTTACAAATGTTTTAAGAAACTTCCGTCTGTATTTTATAGGGATTATCATGAGTTTAGAATAGGAATTTTATGTTAGTGAAGATTGCTAAATTGTAGTATAATTTTATGCGTTATTTTTGTTAGGCGAAATCCTCTAAGTTTTTGGTCTAATTTTACTGCTAACTGAACGTATCTAAGCTACAGTATGCGTCCCTGGTTCAGTGTTAGAATACTCGCCAACCACGCAAATGCTCCGAGGTCCTAGTCCCGACCAATGCACACCTTAAATGTTGCTTAGTTGGTAATAAGTACAGTAAAGAGGGAAGTTTTGGAGTTAGAATAGCAACCCAATCGCGTAAAAAAACACCATTGCTACGGAAACTCCAAATCATACAGTGTTATACAGTAATATTAACTGATGACGTTTCGAGCACAAACTATTGCTCATAATCATATCGAAACGTCATCAGTTAATATTACTGTATGACACTGTGTGATTTATCTAAATAAATTCTTATCTTTAATGGAACCCTGAACTCTGTATACAGAAAAATTTTGTCCAGTCTTTTATTCTGCCTTGGTCTTAACCTCTTCAGTAGTCATTCCCTGTAAAAAAAATCAATTTTTTAATTTTCTATTTTACTTTTAGTTTGCTGTTACTTTAATAATTAATTCACTACTATCACTCTCATATGCTCCTTTTGTACATATTCACACTCTCTCTACACTTGTTAAATTGACACTCAACTTCCTCTATTCTCAGTCAATAGAAATATTAACCTTATCAAATTTCTAATTTTGTGCCGTTGAGTACGACGTAATTTACAACTTTAATTTTTTTTAATTCTAAAGCCACTTCTGATAATTATGTTAATTACGTCACCCCCTATTACTCAATAATAGACGACTACACATTTTTAGTAAATTTAAATACAAATGTACAGCCTCTGAAGATGATTTCGTCGATAAAGAAAATTTTCTTCGCTGAATTTTTCTTTTATTATTTTCATGGCTCAATGGGTATTTTCGGTGAAATTGCAGATCCTTTATTTCATATATTAAAATGAATCCCCTAAGATACAGACGAGTTTCCGTCTTTCGTATTCTATGTTTTCTATGATTCTGCATTCTGGTGAACCAGTCAATTTAAAATGAGGCTAATTTGCATTTGCTTCCAATGATACCGCTTCAGTTTTTATTCCCTTCTTGTGTATGCATGAAATGTTCCTCGTTGTTTCATCTTCAGTTAAATCAAAAACTGAATTTCTACATAACAATGCATGTATTTAATAGCAGCCCTCTTCTATTCTCAAATTTTTATGTGTTGAATTTCATTTGGTCCAGGTTGTCCATTCATCAAGTTTTTGGGCAAATGTTGTCTGGTTCTCCTTGTCCTCGTAGAACTGAAGTATAACTTGTTATGATTATTGCTTGGCTTAGTGCTTTCGAAACTGACTTAATTGGTTTGATTTAATGAAATTTTCTCAGTGAACCACCTTACACTGGAACATTTAGATTATTTGCGGCTTCCCATTTTTAATTTGCATTCTAGGTTGTTATTATTATTATTATTCGACCCTGCTTTCCGAGTAAAACATAGGGCTTCAGCAATGCATCTTTATAACGTATTGTTATTTACCGTCGTTTTCAGCTGGTTCATTGACTGCCTGCATGCTGTTCTTTCCTCTTTTGCATGTCACTCCCAGAGGCTCAAGTCATCAGTGATCATATGGCTCCTACTTGAGGACCTGGTGTATGATGCCACTCAACAGTCTCCTTGGAGTATATCCAATTCATTCTCATTTCCTTCTACATATTTGTTGAACAATAAGTTTTTGGTTGCTTCTCGGCAAGAATTCCTTTTCACTTATCCCATCCTTAATAAAACTTCATAGCACAGAAAATTTCTAGTTTATGATTTTAACTATCGTTTGCTTTCGTGAAACAGTCTAGTCCACCTCCAGCGTCATAGGTGGATTTAAGTAATGTAAATTAAACCACTTGAGAAAATCATTTAACCAGATTAAATTAAATTATCGAAAAGGATATTCTTTGCTCAATTATTTTTTTTTTTATAGATATCTGAATGAATATTTTCGTCATATTGAAATAGAACTTTGTTAAAATAACTAGTGTCAAAGGAAAATTATTCTTAAATTTCAGTTATTGTATCTAATCTTTGGTCATCACTTATTATTAAGTAAAACAAAAACAATATTATTCATGATCTTTGAAACAACAACTGTAATACTGTTAGGTATAGAAAATATTTTAAACTAAATTTATGGATTTTCGTTTAAACAGACACCTGTAGTGAATCACTGTCTTGCATATATGCATGCATATATATATATATACATATTATATATGCCTTCCAAGTAGATTGATTCGTAACATATGGTTTGCAATTTATTAGTTATCCAAATATCTGTTTAGCCGAAGTATCATGGTGAAGCAACTACCAAACTTTCTGATCACAATGCTGATTCACTGATATTTGTAAAAACAAAAAACAAACAAAACAACAACACATGTTTTGTCAAACGGGCAAACTGTGTCTGACGAATCTATTGTATGTCAGTGTTTACTGTTTTCTTAGGAATTAGCTACCAGTTTTGTAAGCTTTCATTGTATAGTATGTACGTAGGTAGTTAGTGGAAAAATGCACAAACCAACACAATTATTTCATATTGAAGCAGTACACTGCAAAAGAATTATCTGAAAGCGTTTATTAGCAACCATAGAAATAAGGGTAAAAGAGATGGGAGCGAAGAGTTTTGTTAGTAGTAAGGAATGAAGCCGAAAATACTAAGGCTTCTTCAAAAACTTTTCATATTAGTTTGTTTATTGAATATGGCTATCGAAACAGAAAAGCCAGAGCTCTGTGTACAGAAAAAATTTGTTCAACTCCTCCAACTTTCATGGTTTTAATCCCTCTATGCTAAAGTATAGTAATCTCTAATCATATTTTGGCTCTACCATTTTTTCATTTTGTCTATTCAGTTTGTATACTCTTCCTTTGTTACGTCAATTGTTACAATTACTATTCTCACATTGAACTGTCCCTGGTATTATTTCACTTGTTCCACTTGTTATTCTAAATCTTTTTACATTCTTTTTTACAACGTTAAATTCTATGCTATCAAATTTCACGCAATATTACGTAACGTTTTTATTTTGTTCGATTTGTCTACTAATCCTATTGAATATATATCACACAGTGAAACAGTATTATTGACTAAATCGGGTATGGGAACACAATTTATTGTTCATAATCATATCATATCACAATCTGCTTTCTCTACAAAACCAATCATTCGTACAAGCGCAAAGGATAAGCTACAGCTGCTGGCCTCATCAGTGTGTATCTATCAGTTCTGCTGCTCCTGAAGAGCTTGGCACGTCGGCCATGCTTAGCGTTTGCTATCTAAACTTATCGTAGAAAATATACTGTCATGATTTTACGGAGGGGAAAAAAGCCCTGCAGCTGTCTTATGCAACACCTGGTCGAATCTGGACACTAAGCTAACCCGCAAAAAAACTTCAGAGTCGTCGACAGAGTATGTGGAAATCTTGACAAAGCAGTACAAATCTGCCTTCTTCTAAGTACAGAAACTATAGCAATCTATATGTTAAATCCTGAACTCTGCATGAAGAAGAAGTTTGTGTTCAGTCGCTGGAACCTACAATGAAATTAGTTTGTCTCAAAACTTGATAAAGTTTTTTATTAACCTTAATCTTTTAAATTTTACTATTTTTCTCCTTTCCGACTGCTACATTTCGACTCCTTATGACACTGTGATCACTTTTATTTGATGTCTTTATTCATTCCTGTCAATTAGGTTGCGTTACTCATCTTGCTTGTTTCATTTTACTTTAGTTTTTTGCCCTATAAATACTTTTGTATTACGCAATAGTTATGTAAAACTTACACTTCTGATGACACATCTTTAGAAACACTCCTTTTGTTGCTGTGATAGTGTACTATAATAATGCGATTATACAGCTTGTGAATGATACCACTGGAAAGAGTACCTTCTCTGAAGGCCTCTTATTTTATATATCTAATAAACAAATTGATATAGGGTTACATACTACCACAGTGCCCAAGTCTTACACAAATATTGTTCAAAAACCTGTTCAAAACATTCATCGCTGAATTGAATATAGTATTTGCAAAACTATTCGATTACTGTTTTGAATACCTTTTTCTCAAAAATCTGAAAAGCACAAATCGACACAGATATAAAGTATGTTTTTTTTGTTATTGCATTGTTCGAATTAATGGAATTATAGGCAAGGTGCAAACCTAATTGTCATCAGCTTTTACTGTCAGTTTTGTCCATAAGTAGTCATTCGTATACATAAACATTCATTGCATATATGAGTTTAACAAATTGTCCTAAAACTTTTGATATAGAAGATGGTTGACATTTTGTTGGTGAAAATTTAACAGTAATATGAATTATTTCAGTCAGTAGTTTCATTTCTTGGGTCACCTTAATCTCCCATCAAGTTCAACATGTATAACAATAGAGTGTAGGAAGCACCAAATATCTGGTCACAGTATAATTCATGGAATTATTTATTGATGCAGGTTTTAAGATTATCTATCAGAATGTATTACATTATCATCCAATTAGTAAAAGACTAATTTTTCACACGTGTATGCCGAAAGGAGTTACAATTTCCCTCCTATATATTTTTTTGATTTAATTATACTCTTCTACTGAAACAGTTTTCGGCTAAATAATAATCACACTTTTAATATACTAACTCACTGCAAGCTAAGAAAACTTGCGAAGAGTTTGATAACTGAAAATTTGAGGCAATAGAGATAACGCAGTATGGTTGCAGGAACAGTCTCCAACAGACAACATTATCTGTCAGTTCAAGGTGATCCCGTCAACATTAAATGCTTTTGATCACAAAGTAGGAGAGAAGATAATTGATTTAAGCTGTTCCAGATTCCCTTTCCAGGTCAATAAATTTTATTTGCTTCAGATTAGCTTTTCTATGTAATGCAGCAGCCTACAGTTTCTAGCGGATTCATTCATACTTAAAAGGTGAAGAAACGCATAACAAAAGTGAAGAAAAACAACATTTGAAAAGTTTCCAATTGATTGACACAATTTTCATTCGCGAATATGCTGAAATGGTAGCTTTAAATACCAGTCAGCTGATGTACATTTCTAAGTGTCTGACTTCTTTGAGTACTGATATATTTATTTATTTCACTCCAGATAGATTTGGATGTGAAATATTATTTAAAATATTTGCTACTGTTGCTTTTCGCATATACCTTCTGTTGTCGTTTTATCAATCCGGGATACATTTTTTCAAAACTTTTAGAAATCTCACCTGCTGACTACTAAAGGTCCAGTTACGCAGGCTAATTTTCCAGTACATATGGAGCGCTTGAGACAGGTAAGCAGATGGTAGTTTATAAGATTACTTATCAAGCTGAGTACTCATTCTTATTTTCATGTTTCTAAATATCTTATGTCTTAAATATTGCAGAAATGTGTGGACTTGAATGCTTGAATAAGATGGTAGCAAGACGGATATATGAAGCTTATCAGTTAATTTCGCATAGAGATTATGCTAAATTCATTGTAATAGAATAGGGGAACTTGACTTTTAGCATAGACATTCCAATTTACATGTTTGTATATTATGGACAGACATGATGCATGAGGCTTTTCGTGACTGATATATGGTTTCTAACGGAAAAGAAATTTTCAAATGTTGGTTTGTGGGGATTTAATTGGTCTTGATTTCGATCACGACTTGACTTCAGCTAGAGAACCATTTGAAATGAGACAGTACTGGACAACTGTTTCGTCTTTGTTTTTAACTATTCATCAGTATACACCCATTACCGCAACCACCCAGTACCCTCAGGTTACAAGGTGAACTCGTATACCATTCAGTCACTGGGATGGAATCCAATGGCTCATTATGTCTAACTTTTGTCAATTCACGATATAGCGCTACCGCCAAGCAACGTCATCAGCGTATATCTGTATCCCTGGTGGGGTCATTGGTGCGTCCTTCTGAAACATCCCAAAAAAGGATGGAATAGCCGTTCTGTACCGTCTTTTTTACAATGGTCCTGTAACTGAAGTCAATTTGTGCTTAAAAATGAAAAATAAATTTTCTGCACTCATAACAGGACAAATAAAGTAAGGCGAAATGCTTAGGTCTAATGTATTTCTATATTATGGTTGATGTTAAATGACTTATCCGCTGGATAAGGTTGTCCTTATATTTCAATTTTGATGTTTGTCTGCTAATATGCCCCAACAGTCTAACCAAATCTTTTGTGTAAAGTAAACTTAAACCCATTAGCTTATGTCAACTTCACACAAATCCTACATACTTTTGTCTTTAGTTTAAATGGTGTTCAGTTAGAGATATCTGTTTTCACAAGAAAAGATGCCTTATATGTGGTACTCTTGACACATTTAGATTCGTGATGGTTTCAGCTAGTTTTGCTAAAGTTGTGCCTGTATGATTGATTTGTTTAGTAATGCATTAAACAAGTTTATTGCTTGAACTAATCTATTCTGAAACAGGTGTCAATTTAAATGAAGTTTAGTTTACATAATTTGACTGTTGCAACGGTGGCATAATGTACTATCAGCGCAGGAGTGGTTATGATATGCTTACGGAAACACTCACTTACATTATGATGTTTCTATTTAGATTACTAGTATACCAGAAAATGCAAAATAATTTTTTAATATATATTCCGCTGTAATTCCAGGGGAGGCTTATATTATTCTATTTACTAAAGGAAAGGCAATAGATAAACGATAAAATAAGATCAACGAAATTTGCACTTCGTATATTTCAAAATATCTTACAAGAAATGTCATATAAGGGAAAATTAAGTTTTTATTGTTCAAACAAGAGAGTTTATATAAAGTCAGCTCATTTATAGAATTTTTTTAAATGTCAAAAAGAGGGAAGCAGATAGTTGGTGTAGGTATTGAAATTCGAACGGTCCTATCAATTTGTTGAGGTGTGGACAGTCATTTTATGTATGTCATTTGAAGTCATGTAAGGCTGCTGTTTTTAAACTGGTTCACAAATCGGAGGCTGCTTGCTGTGTTGCGGTACTCAGTTTTAATAAATACCACAATCACTTTGTATATTGTCAATGGTTTAGAAATTTTTTTGTCATTTTTCTCTTTTTATCAAATCTTATATAACTGAATTTCTTTCTGTTTATCTGTTAAATAACTTTCAAAAGGTGGTAGAGTAAAAATTCAGCCTAAAGCTTTTGTTCAAACTGGGTGGTTTAATAACTATATAATAGACACTCTTGTTACCGCCATCTGAATTTGTTTATTGTTACACTCAAAACTAATTCACCTGTGCTATTCATTGTTCTTGGTCAACAAAAATGTTTTGAATATCTCCTAAAATGTTGAGAATTTATGCTACTTTTGTGATGTATGCTTGGTGATGAGAACTAATGTGGCCGCCTGCTTAAAACGTGGGCTACCAATAACTTCCATCTCTTTCTCTCTCTCTTGCATATATTTTCTCTCGTTCGCTTTGTTTCAGTCGATTAAAATACGACCTCCAATGGTATTATCTACTCTCGTGTATATTTAAAACGTTTACAAGCTTCTGATTTGCAAGCTCCTACTTAACTTAAGAAAAAGCCTCACCGTGGGTGACAACGTGTCCCAATACATTAGATAGCTGTTCTTCATTTATGTCCTTGGGTCTCAAATGTACTTCTGAACATCTTATAATTGGCTTTCAACTAGATATCTTTGATTTCTTGAAGGAGGCAGAGAAGAAATACTATAATGGAATGGTTTGTACTTCATCTCAGGGAGCATTGTGTCACAGGATATGCTGTCAGTTAATATTTTACTTGAAGACATCCTGACCGATAGCTGCTACCCTGACGTGGTGGTCAGGCTTGCACATCGCAATGACTCAACACGCTTCACTGGCTGGAACTATTGTTCCTGCAGGTCCTACCATGCCAGGAAGGTTGTTAGGATAGCGATTAGACTAAAATCAGTTACCGGCATGGTGTAAGATTTTTTCTACACTGCTGGGGGTCTGTGAGCGAAGTCGTACTGCTGGGGAACAGGGATGTACCAGCAGTGAGGTGTTTCCCTCAGATGATCAGCATACCAGCTATGCTGTCTCTGCACTCTGGAGAGAGGGGACTAGAAAAGGTTGACCCCAACATTTGTATATCCCGACTTGCGCTACGGTGGTCCGTAACCGACAGTAAGTTTACTAATACGGAACCTATCCAAGAAACCAGTTCATACAGGCTGTGTGTTACTGGCCTCAAGAAGTTGTCTCCTGGGCTCTGCGGTCACGCAACACTAACCTTTTTTCTATTTCAGGTACACGTAGACTCAATCAACTTCCACGGTGTGGGTAGCCGGCAAGTAACAACCGCCCACACACTTCCAAGAGCACACGAAACCTCCCGGAGCATCATTCTTCTTTACCCCTATCAACTTCATCATCTTACTCCCCTACTACAGTTAGTGTTATCCTTCAGGCTAGTGAGGCATCTTCACTTCACTCTGTGACCACAAACAACGACGAGAGCCATAGAAACACCCCCAATAGCCTCTTAAAACCACGTTGCCAACTTCATATAGGAGCTTTTAACGTCAGGATCCTCTGCCAAATCGGACAACAGGCATCACTAGCAAGAACTCTGGTATGTCAAGCTATGAATGTATGTTGTGCTTCGGAGACACGCATGGAAGACCCGAATGTGGTCATTCACTTAACCTCATCCGGCCAACAAAGTGAATCTGCAAAATTCACTTTAAGATTGTCAGGAGACCCCTCAGCTATTTCGCGAGGACTCGCAGGTGTAGGGATAGCACTGAGTGTTTAGGCAGAAAAATCACTTCTTGACTGGATCCTAGTAGATAATCGTATGTGTGCGGTCTGTCTGAACGAGACCTTTATAAGTAGAAAGGACGGCGTTACCCGTCGTTGTGTTTTCGTGGTCTCCGCTTACGCAGTTCGGATGAACTGAAGGATGATTTCCACCTGAAACTGTCTAATTTACTGTAAAAAACAAAACGTTCAGATATAGTTGTTTTATCAGGAGACTTCAATGCCCAAGTAGGGAAGTTGTGCCAGACCGAGAAGTATGTAGGTGGTACGTATGGAGTTCCCTGCCGGTGAACCAACAATGGTGATCGACTTCTACAGTTTTGCTCAGATGATCATCTGTTCCTAGTCAGCACTAACTTTAGGCATAAAGAGAGACACTGCGTAACTTGGCGACCTCCATCACCAAATGAAGGCTTGACCCAGATAGACCACATAGCGATAGGGTATCGTTGGCGAGGGTCAGTAGAAGACTTCCACTCCTTCTGGAACACGTGCGTAGACTCTGATTATGCCCTGGTTCGCGCACGTTTATGTTTACGGCTAAACGGACATAAGAAATTGATGGCAGCGAAACAGTTACGTCCCCTACTAGTTCGAGACACGGAGTCCCTATTTAAGGAAGAAATAGCGAAATGAGGTCGACAGCAGGACTTCCCCCGAGGTAGCCTGGCACAACATACAGTTAGCTGTGGACACAGCTGTAAAAGCTGTTAATAAGCTGAAACCAAAAGTTAGTAAGAGCCATTGGATCTCTACCGCCTCATCCGAACTGATTCCGACGAGCTCCGATTATGAGCTACTCACACGAAAACTAACAAGAAATCTTCCCAACGACCGTGAACAGTGGTGGGCGACAAGAGCGAAAGAGATTGAAAAGGCATCGGCGATCGGTAACATCAGACAACTATTTAGGTTTATCACGGAAACAGGTGGTAAATGACAAACGAAAAGTGAAACAATCTCTAAGGAAAATGGCACCATAATTAGCTCCCATGATAGACGACTGGAACGCTGGAAAGAACACTTTGAGGAGCAGTTTAATTGGCCAACAGCTACACTCAAATTACGGAATATCCAGCACCTCCCTGAATGGGATATAGACACAGGTCCTCCGTCCCTAACTGAGGTTACTAAGGCTGTCACTAGTCTGAAACGAGGCAAAGCAGCAAGATTTGATGGAATGACTCCAGAGGTATTTAAGTACGGTAGAGACAGTTTACTGTCTGTATTAACTGAGGTTCTAGGCAGCGTCTGGGAGTCAGAGGAAGTCCCATCGGGTTGGTGTAAGTCACTGATCTTCCCAATATACAAGAAGGGAGACAAGTCTTCTTGTGATAATCACAGAGGGATTAGCTTGACTGATATGGTATCTAAGGTCCTAGGCTCAATAATAATGCGTAGACTAAGTGGTGCTCGGGAGGCACAAACACGAGAGAACCAGGCAGGCCTCAAACCAAGAAGAGGGTTATTGATCATATCTTCACCCTTCGACAGATTCTAGAACATAAGCATTCCTACCGGCCTCCGACAATCACTATATTTTTTGACCTAAAGGCGGCATTCGATTCTGTCGACCAAGAGGTTCTCTGGCGATGCTTGGCTGTAAAGGGAATGCCAAGAAAATACATTGCACTGATCAAGGCACTCTGGGTTTGACTTGCTACCAGGAAATAATCTTGTTGACTTTGAATATGTAGATGATATAGTCCTGTCTCCTAGGTGCAGACGCTGACAAAGTGCGGAGTTTTCTGAACACTTTGAGCTGCAATCTACGAATGTTTGGCATGCGGGTTGCTCCCGCCAAATGTACGTGACGTTACAGGACTGGACTACACTGAATCCTAGTTTAGAAATAGGGAGTGAAGTGGTAGAGCACTTCAACCGCTTCACTTATTTGGGAAGTACCATCAGCTCCCGTTGGGTGACATCGCGCGTCAGACCCTCGAGTGGAACCCGAAAGGAAAGCGGCGAGTGAGACGTCCAAAGGTGACATGGAGGAGATCGTGTGAAGAGGAACTGAAACAGTATGGATTAACACGGATTCAGGTGGAAAGTACAGCAGAAGACAGAAGCAAGTGGAGGCGTGGCTAGCTGCGAGACCTGGCCATTGAGTGTGGAAGACATGAAAAGATTAGCTGTCTTCGATCATAGGTGCCTGCGTTCTATTTCCCGTATGAAGTGGTATAATAAGGTGAGCAATATTGAGGTGAGGCATCGGTCGAGTGCTAGGTAAGGAGGGGAAATCAATTGACGAGGCTTTGAAGTTACACCGATTGAGATGGTTAAAACATGTGTTGCATATGCCTAGTCATCGCCTTCCTCGATGGGCAATGTTAGCTGATATAGGGTCAGGCTGGAAAAGAGGTAGCGGTGGTCAGACCAAAAAATTTCACCACTCAATGAAATCCACAACAGTTAGTTTAAGCCAGCCACGTAGGAAGGTATAGACTTCCTGGTTGGGGTCCTCAGGACGGTAAAAACCAATGGTTGGAAACAATCGTTGATATGGCTCAAAATCGTTCTCAATAGAGCAGATGTATCCACTCCTTGTTACTTATAATTTCCAATGAAACTGTATTGCTCTTCGTTATTACTATTCCTTTTGTCTCATATCCATATCTACTGTCTCTATTTTGCATTTCTTCCTCTTTCCTCTCTTGCTTTGTGTGCTACACGGAGTGTGGCGACTTGAACTGCCGCATATCGATGCAAAGTTCTATGTTGAAAACAGACAGACAGACTTGAAAACATTGTACGAAGGGAAAATATCATGCAATAAACTCCTGTGAAAATTCTGTACATTTTATATATACTGTCTATAATAAAGATGTTATTATTACTACTTTTACGTGATGACAGTAAATTGTTAACTGTTAGATGTATAAAAACTTGAAATCCTAAAATCTAGTTTACATAAGATGGTTACATTACAAACAGATCCATTTTGTCACCTCTTTAAATAAGTTTCAGATGAATGTGTCTATGAGGTTATATTATTGATGATTATTACTATGCTTCAGTGGTCTGGCAGATAACACTTTGGAGTTTGAAGGGCTGATTACTGGGTTCAAGTCCCAGTCATCACTCACTGGGAAGCAAGTTAATTCATTTGGCAGTCCGAAATAGGACGAAACGTGCGTGCTTTATTCTGCTGATAGCCCTCATCAAACAAGCGATTTCGAGTTCTTAATTTAATCTTATTTTTTGAGGGAATTGTGAACTTAAAACTACCAGTAGTCCTCACTTTAAGATGCAGGTTTTGTTGGAATTTCGGGACACACCCATAAATGGTTGGTCGACTTGCATTCATCTATGTGTTCAATATTTATTACTTACTGTTATTATTAGTAGTAATTTTGCTGTTTATTGTTTCTACGTTATTTTATTCTTTTGTTTCGCTAGTATAATGGATACATGATCTACTCAGTGCCTTTAACAATTGATCAACCCGAGAGGGTTGTTTTAGATTTCTTCCGTATCTCAGATATTGCTCATATTTTTACTGGTGATAAGTTTGGACGTTATGTAAGTATCATCAAGTATATTTAAAGTATGTTTTATTCCATAGTAATATCAAACAAATTTAGAATTTTCATGGTGCTAACTTGCATCTCCTTCGGAAAATGTGTAGTGCATGTCATGTCAACCTTTATGGCCAGCGGTTATCACTAGGTTAGAATCGTATAATCCTTATTATATATATATTATATTATTATTAAGCAACGCCATGTTACGAAATGATAATATAACTAGTTATTTTATCCACACTACAACACCACTTTTGTATTATTTTGGTTCAATTTTATACTCTATCTTTCGGTAACTAAAATGTTTCCTGAGACCTTTCAAAGGAGACTAAAAAATAATTTTACACGTTTTGGATCAGGTAGATTTTCCGGCAGTTCATTGAGGAATTTGGAAAAAAACAGTGTTAGAGAATAGTTTACGATGGTTGAACATGAATGCAGAAATGGCTACAGGATATTAATGTTGTCCACCCAGCTACAAAATGAATGATAACCAAAGTCTGTTTCTAATTTCATTCGTAGAAATAGGCTCCAAAATATTTCCCATTTATATTTTTCAAAGTAAATCTACATTATATTGTAGTGAACTAGAATTAAGCAGGTTACGGCTACCTGGAAATCATATTTAGAGCTTCTTGGCACTAAAAAAACATTCACCTTCTGATTTTCACCACTTGTAAGCCATACAGTTTTCAGAACTGTCTTTGGGAAAAGTCATTTCTAATTTTCTCACATGGCATTTAACAAAACCAGTTTAAGTGATGCATAAAAACGTGTGAATTACAAATGTACTTGAGATTGCTTCCTGTTGGAAGGTATACTAGCAACCGGTATATTGAAGTTATTGGTATCTTCTCCTCTTCGGCCTTTTCACTTTCATAAACAGATACGTGAATCTGTAGAGAGTAGAGACAAAAGTGAATAAAACTGTAGTAGTTTATTAGATGAATAATCTGACATCCACAGTTGGCTGATAATTAGCCGAAAATTACTGACAGTTTTTTGTTTTGGAAGATCCCTGGATGTCTCATGTTTGTTAACCTTCACTTTATACTTTATCTACTCACGCACTTAGGAAGATACTGCTAATAGTCTGTATTCCTAGAAGGGAACAACGCTAACAAAATAAAAGAGTTCTTAGGACAAACCAACCTGTTTTACAATACTGTAAGAAATATTTCTAGAAAATAATGCATGCCATTTTTACAAAATTTCCTGAACTACAAATCATTTACCAGGTTCACTTGGTAATCAGTTATCTAGTCTGTTTCTACACAGAGATTACGCAGGGCTCATATGATATCATCCTATCTTGTGATATGACACATCGCATAAATGCTCCTTGATTTATCAAACACTAGTGTAAAAATGATATATGCTTTATATATGACTTCTGAAAGCTCTACTCAGTTCACGCTGTAGAGTGCTGAAGTATACTGATGACAATGTCGTCTATTACTTCAGTGTTCTTGATCACAAAAGAATACGGTCATGTTGCCAAATTGAAATAGAATTCCTTTGGATCAACTCAGATTCTACTTTCCTGGTCTACTGGCTAGTTGTTAGCCTGGAAAAGAGGGAAGGTAGAACGTGCAAAAGAGCAGCAAGTCTACCCCGTAAAACCAAGATCCCTTCCACTGAAACTTCAAAACTTTGAAGCACTATTTTTCAATAGAGAAAGGAAGACGAAATTCGCAGTATAAAATGATATCATTCTATTTCACAGGTTCTCATCAGCTGCAGACTACCTGAAATTACAATGGTTATATAAATGATAATAACATACTTTAATGTTTGAGTAGTAGTAGAGAAGAGATAAAATTGACGCATCCAAAAAAGAATGAAAGCATTACAATTTTTAGTTTAAGTTATCATCATCAATTTATACACTTTCAGAGTTGAAAAGAGGGGGGAGGAGTAAGACAGAAAACAGAAAAATTGATTAACACAAACAGTGTTAGCTTGTAGGTTCACATGGCAACTCCAAAAAACAAAAGCATTTACAGTTTATGAGATTAAGATTTGTTCAGTGAGTTGAGATCACTGAATTAGATGACTAATCAAAATCAAAATTCAGTTACCAAGGCAGTGAGAGGTTAATCACACTCTCTTTCTGTATGCATAAGCGATCGCAATCAAACGATTTAAACCAGACTTATGCATACAGAAAGAGAGTGTGATTAACCTCTCACTGCCTTGGTAACTGAATTTTGATTTTGATTAGTCATCTAATTCAGTGATCTCAACTCACTGAACAAATCTTAATCTCATAAACTGTAAATGCTTTTGTTTTTTGGAGTTGCCATGTGAACCTACAAGCTAACACTGTTTGTGTTAATCAATTTTTCTGTTTTCTGTCTTACTCCTCCCCCCTCTTTTCAACTCTGAAAGTGTATAAATTGATGATGATAACTTAAACTAAAAATTGTAATGCTTTCATTCTTTTTTGGATGCGTCAATTTTATCTCTTCTCTACTACTACTCAAACATTAAAGTATGTTATTATCATTTATATAACCATTGTAATTTCAGGTAGTCTGCAGCTGATGAGAACCTGTGAAATAGAATGATATCATTTTATACTGCGAATTTCGTCTTCCTTTCTTTATCGAAATTTATCGGAGGAACCAGTTGTATGAAGCACTATTTTTCACTTGAAAATCAAGGAATGAAAAAAATTTCAACAAAATTATGCTGCACAATTCTGCTTAGTTCTCTGCATTATCGTATAAATTTAACATACGATATAAAGGAAAGTGAGTAAAAGTTTGATTTTTTCTATTAAATCCTACACACTCAGCATAGTATGATTATCTACTAAATAAGTTAGGATAATCAACTTTCTCAACTGTTGTTTATTTTATAAAGTGTTAGTCTTTCTCCTCCCTTTATTACATGTTGTCATTTCTTTATGATATTTTCATATCACGCTGACAATTTTTCAGGGAATTTTTCTTTACCTTTAAAGACATATCATGGCTCACTGGAGTACAAGGATAAAGTTTTTAAAATGGATAATATTCACGATGTACAGAATTTAACCATAATCGCAGAAAATACTGGACATATTAATTACGGTTTGGAAATGATCTATGATAAGAAGGTATGTTAAAAGATGGGGTGAATATCCTTTAGTAGTTCACATTTAAATTTATGTAACTGGTATGTAGACTTAAATCATGTAAGTCCACAGTGTGTTTTAAGAATAGCTTTACAATGCTTTTTGATTAAAGTCTTTTTGTTTCATTGATCCACTCATAAAATATTTCTTGATAATTAAGGCAGATATTTTATTTATTGTTTAAATTGAAGGCGAATTTCATGTGTTATCATTGGTAAATTAGCTTATAAAAAAGATACTGAGTTACAGGACTTCATCATGAGTTGACATCGGTTGGAGAATCATTGAAAAACCTGGCAGTACTGGACAAATGTTTCTTACGTCCTAGCTTGGGACTCTTCGTCAGTACGCACTCACCGGTGTCCGAAACCCAGGAGCTTCCAGTTACAAGGTGAACTCGTAGACCATTAAGTTACTGGGACGCGATTCAGTGGCTAGCCCATGAATTCCAAGTTCTGCCGATTCACGCTATAGCGCGACTACTAGTTAATGTCATCGGTAAGTATCTGTCCTCACATCCTACCTGCTGTACTTCACTGATCACGACTTCTCAGACAGACACTTATTTAACAGATACCTGTTATTTGGAAAAACTGATGGAGGACATCAGCTTAAAAGCAGGCAGCCGTTTCAGACGATAGGGAAGACAAATAGTGATTGTCAGTCATTATTGATAGAGACAAATACTTTTAATGCATTACATTCATTTGTTTTTCTTATTAGTATGTTTTCTGTTAAAATGAAATGCCGTTCATATTTCAGGGGATTATTGGACCAGTATTTCTTAACAAAAAAGTACTTGATGTCTGGAAAATGATTCCAATTAAAGATCCTTTTTCCTTAGATTATGTATATCAGAAGTAAGTTAAACTTCACTAATTTTATAAATTTACATGAAATTAGTTTATATGCCTCTGTTTGGCTTTAAACAGAGATTTATTCTATCGTATTAGGAATTATTGTGGTGCTGTTTTCCTGTTGTAAGTTTATTTAACACGGAAAGGTTTCACTGACGTCATCATTTAAATTTTATGACATGTATGTAAAACTAGCGTATTCAGTTCCTAGGGAAGGACATTTTAAAGACGAAGAAGAACTACTCGCTAGGTGAGCCAATAGGAAATACAAAAGTCTTATGTCTATTTGACCATGCATAGTATAATGCTAATGTTTATACTATCCATCTCTTATAAACAACTTACTATACAGGATGCGCATAATTTATTTCATACTCCATGATTTTGCAAGAAAAAACTACTAGTTATTGGAATCAGAGGATTATTTTGACACAGATTACCACTAAAAGCAATTGTAATTTAAAGCAAGAATAAGTGATTGTATATCAAGCTGTCAATTTCACCTTTACATTCTTCTCCTCCTCCGAAAACTAGCATTTTCACAACATTTCAATGTGTTTTTCTTATTTGACACTAAGACTATCAGCTACGTATTGAATACATGGTTGATTGTTGATTTTAAAAATTGGATGCACAAATGCGTGTACGCATCTGTCAGTTTTCTGTGATGCTACATAACGGTGATTCACAATATTTTGTTTAAATGTTACTGTTGTAGTATTTTGTTAATGAACATTGCAGAAAAATTATCATAAAATAGGGGAAGTGAATACCTTTCCATCAATGAATTGTTTGTTACTTCACACCCAACATGATTGCAGTTGAACAGCAAGCAGTTCATAAACAAATAGTTTTCAGTTCTATTAGCCTAAAATTTATGTGTGATTCACAGTGGACACCTTATGTTCCTAAATAATTAAACTTTAATAATCTGGATTGTAATTAATAGAACTTTGGGTATGGAACGAAAAAAGAATAAATATATATATCAATTCCTTAGTTTCTAGTCATCGACTTGCTGTTTTAAACACTACTTAGGTGGAATTATGACACGAAGAGTTGAAGTTTATCCCATACGCATAAATAGGCAAGTAATCAGTTAGAAAGTCAGTCGGCTTTATTCACTGAGACAAAGAAAATCCGACTATGCGTATTGTAATAACTTTCGCTAGGTTGAATAATTCACCTTATTACAACTTTCAAGTGCAAACTTTTTTAGTAAATTAAAAGGTTTTCATTATATCCCCAATTAAGAATTGTTAATTCCTGGCGAAAAGAGTAGCTTTCGTAGATCCAAAATAAGAGAAGCTGTTGAATGATTGGTTGATTGATCTAAGATAGTCTCTGGTTGGGCTATGTAATGGCTGATAATTGAAGGTGCAATAAAAGTCAGCGAGTAGGTGAAATTAGCACCGGATTATTTAATTATTGTTTCTGAGGTCCATTCAATCTTCACTATAGGCACCGTAGTTTAAAAACTGCACTCATTTGCTTCAAACACTTTTACTTCTACAATCCACTTTGTATCCTCTGTCGCCAAATACTTAAACCTTCATGAAAGCATAGGTTGACGAATATTGTGGATTGCATTTGTCGTTTTCCGAAAATTGTTCTTAACGGTAAGATTAGTATATATATATATATATGCATTTTAATTTTTGCAAACATTTGTCGTATTTGGCATTCAGAATCAGAAATGACAATCTCCTAGATTACCAGGCATTTCATAAATCGACTTACTGCCTGAAACTGTGGAACAGTACACAGCTGTTTATTCAATTTTGAGATATCGTATCCTGAAAGTGAATGAGTTAATTGCTTTTAGGATTTTCGCGGAAATAAGTAACGGTTTCATCCCAAGCACTATCCAATATCTAATTCTTGTATAAGGAGTGGACGACAAATGTGCGTAGGTCGCAACAGTCAAAGTGATCGTTTTTCACGTCTGGTTGTCAACTTGACTTCGTAGCACATTAACAATTTACGTAGACTGTGTGCAAAATCAGAATTGTGACCTGAAAATCACAGTCCAAGGTGAGAAATCACCATAGTTTCCTTTGCAGACCGTAGTGTATGCTTTTGTTTATATCATTACATCAAGAAAAAGCAAGTGAAATAGCATGTTTATACTTTAGTCTGCCTAGCAAGCACTAGTGTTTGATTTGAGCGTTTTCCAACTCTACAAAATCCTTTACTCGACTATTTTTGACTGCATTTTATTTGTATGTTTACCCAGAATATCTAGATAAATATGAAATTATATGTGAATTATTCAGTCAGTTATAAGTCTTTTTTGTATTTTATAATCTTTCTTCACTTTAACATTGTATATAAGAAGTGTTATAAACAGTGTTTCAGACGCCTCAGTATTTTCTAACCCTGCTGCTAACCGGCGAATATAACTTCTTAAGACTATTGTTTATGAGAATAGCTTATCAGTTGTTCGATAACTAGGCTTTGTATTTACATTATGAATAATAAACACATCTTGATTATTCTTTACAAATTACATCGTTGGAATTTCAGGTTTAAAACAAGAGAGATTATACCTTTCATAGAATGGTTGAACTTAGTATACTTTACCTTCCCGTATTTGATTAGTTGATATCAGGTAGTACTAATCTCAAGCTAAATCGTCAATCTTTCCATTTGTTCTAAATTATTTTTAAAGCAAAGACACCCTGGTTGAAAGTGAGTGGCCAGTACCTGGACGCATTTATCATGGAACATTTACTGTCGATGAACTTGCTGATACATTCATTCATCCTGACTCTTTTTCACGAGTAAGAAGCATTACTTGTTAGTTTTTTTTCATTTAACTGTTGTCTTAATTTACCGTAATGAGTTTATTCCTGGTCATTTTTTTTAAAGAAAGAATCATAAAATAGTCGAACTCTTCATTTAGTTGCCAATAGTCAGGTTCTTTGTAATTTTATAATATGTATAGACTCAGTGTTCAGACCATCTTGCACGTTGTGTGCACATTTCGACATCACCAAGTATCAATCAGTAGAAAAAAAATAAATACTTCGATAATGTTAAACAGAACATTTGAACTAATTGGTCTGTAATTGTAAGTGTATATTGGTCAATACAGTGGAATGTGTGACTACCCTTCAAATGCTGTGAGGATTTACAGAACAACATTAATTTTGTTTTGTCTGTGATTATAATGATAGTAATTCCAGCTGTGTTTTCTCACCTCTTATCTGTAAACTTGACCCTAAACATTTTGACCTATATTGATTCATTTTCGCCCCCTATACTGTGTGAACATTTATTTTCATTCTCATTATATGAGAACAACTGGTTTGTTTACATTGTATTAGTCAGTTAACAGCATACAACATAGGAAGCTACTTCATAAGTAGTTTCATCCCATAAATCAATACCGTAGTTATCTACTTCATTTATATATATATATATATATATATATATATATATATATATGGGAGAAACGTCCAGTGAAGGCATGAAGACTCATACACAATATCTAAGACTTTCAGCCAATGTTTATCTTCTCTTTAGAATAATTTATCATCAAGGTTATACTTCATTCCTATACTTGACAATTATATAAATCAATTTGTTGTAAAACGGTATTGTTGTAGCTACTAGGACTAAATGAACACTTATTTGTGCATAAAACTGAATTCCTTATTTTCCTGTATATCATAAGAACCTATTAAGTACTACGGCGTACCCCAAATATTCATCAACCTTATTCAACAGCTGTACGACAACGGCACATGTCAAGTGATCCACAACGGAAAACTCAGCGAGGCGTTTGGAGTAAACACAGGAGTCAGACAAGGGTGCTTATTATCACCAATGATATTCCTAGTTGTGGTGGACTGGATTATGGGTCAGACAGTGGGGAACGAGAAGACAGGGATATCCTGGACCGACGTGAAGAATCTAGAAGACCTGGATTTCGCGGATGATTAATGTTTGATGTCACACAAAATCGAAGACTTACTAGGGAAAACCGACAAACTGGTCGAAGAGGCAGCAAAGATGGGACTCCAGGTGAACATAGACAAGACGGAGGTTATGAAAATAACCAAAAACAACAACAGCAGCAACATCTAGCGCCAATCACCATCAACGGGAGGGATTTGAAAGATAGAGATGGATTGGACACTCGCTGAGGAGGCCGCTGAGTGACATCGCGCATCAGGCCAACGCTCGAGTGGAACCCGAAAGGGAAGCGGCGAGTGGGACGTCCAAGGGTGACATGGAGGAGATCGTGTGAAGAGGAGTTGAAACAGCATGGACTAACATGGATGCAAGTGAAAAGTACAGCAGAAGACAGAAACAAGTGAAGGCGTGCAGTTGAAGCCCAATGTTCCACGAGGAACCCAAGGGAACAATAATAATAAGTTATAAAAACTGCGGACAATTCTACACAGAAAAATTTTCTGTTGTAGATAAAGCTACACAATTGTGTTTATAGTTTTCACAAACAAATAACTATCCATTTTGGAACAATAAGTTTAGCTAAGTCATTGCTGAAGTATAAATCAAAGAAACGTATGTATTTTAAGACGTTTTTGCAAGAGTTATATACTGGTGATTTCGTTAAATGTGAGTGTTTTGTTTTTACTCGTATTTCTTGAACCATCGCAAGGTCTTTTCATACAGTTAAAAATAACAATATTTTATCTACCTTTTAGGGTATAATTTCAATTAATGGCTTTCACATTGGTCGATTTGATCAGATTCAAGGACCTCAGCTTCGACTTTATGTGCCCAAATCATTTTTAAAGTTAGGGGAAAATCAGCTGGTCATTACAATATTGCAAGGTCCTGTCAACAGTTTCGGCGAACAACAGGTTGAGGTTTCATTTCATGATTCAATGTTATGGAGCAATTAGCTGGGTAATATATATATATATATATACGCAAATACCGAAGAAAGCTGTGCATAAATTGATGATTTATCAGTCGTGGTCTCTAATATGTACTCAATGAACTGAACTAATATCTTTTTCTTTTCTTTAACTATCATTCTAATTAATTGACTTTAATTCCATTACGTTGAACTCGCTCCAGATTCTTGTTAATTGTTTTTGTTTCTTGCAAATGACTGTTATCTTTTCTAAACTAACGTTGTCATAAGGTTTTTGGTTTCAATAATTATTATATTTTATCAAACAGTCGCAAATTTTCACTTTCCGAATTTTGACAACACGATGGAGGTTTTGACCAAAATCTGATGCTACGTATTACCAAATACCGAGAATATTCAAAAGAATGGATACTGAACAAAGAATACTCTTTTCGTTAACTTCATCATCAGGCTTTACAGTTATATATACATTATAGTGAATGAATTAGTATTATTAAGAGCATTAATGTTTAAATAACATTGCATCAATAATATCAACAGATTATGGTTCAATAGCATCAACATAAAAATAAACTGAATGTCAGAAAAATTAGGAAAGATAATATTACAAATTCATGAATTTATAGTCTCTACTGAAGGTCAGGGCAGTAGCAGTGGTTGGACTTGCTTCTTTTGCACACAAAGCACTGGTTGTTTCACGCGAATTGCAATATGCTCTGTTGTTTGGAGCATGCCGTGCTTCAATGTTTTTAGCAATTTATTTGGCACCCAGTAGATGGCAGAGAAGGATTCTTCAAGGCTGGCTTTATGGCCGGTTTGGACCAGATGGTCTAATATCGAACTATTGATGGTCATCATTACACCTTTACCTAGCCATACTGAGAGATGTTCTCGAGCACGAAAAATCAAGTTCCTAGAGCAACGGCCGATGTAACTCACTCCACAAGCTCAGTTGAATTTGTAGATACAGTTTGAATTGTCTAGTCTAGGTACATCATCTTTCAGTCGAGGAATCACCGTCGTTCGTGTAGAGAATAATACGTGTAGTTTGCCAGCATTGAAAGTTCTTTGAACCGATTTTCTTAATTTCTTCGTAATTAACTCACTTGGTATATCGCCCTTGAATTGCAGTCGTATATAAAGACGCTTCTTGTTTACAGAAAATGAGTAGTCCTTTTACACTTTCTTTATCATGTGTTTCTTGATAAATTTGTCGGGATAGCTATTTTCAATCAAAGTATCATATACAATGCTTAATTCATCTTCAATTACTTCTGAGCATATAGCTCTTACTCTATGATTGAGGGTTTTTACTAAATTTCTTTTGTACTTGAGAGGAACGAACCTGTGAAAATGTGTATATTGTCCTGTCCATGTACTTTTTCTATGCAAATTTCTTTTTATGCTACCATTTGGTTTTCTTGTAAGGAGGACATCCAGGAAGGCAATTCTGTTTTGGGATTCCTCTTCGCACGTGAATTTCATAGCCGAATGTACTTCATTGAATTCAGTAATTATTGTACTCCTATCCGAATCATTATCACAAAGAATGAAGGTGTCATCCATATACCGGCAATAGAATGTGAACTTTCTGATAAGGTCGTTCAAAGCTCCATTCTCTAGTTTACTTATAAAGAAGTCAGCCAAAATGGGACCCAATCGGTACACCTTAATAACAATTCTTTTAGGATTTCAGTATGGATGCCAATATTTATCGACATTATCTACTTGTTCACATAAGTAGTTAACTTTTTTTCTACTAGAGGTACATTTGTGAATAAAGATGTTATGTCCAGAGATATCATAGTTTTGTCCTTGATATTAATATCTTTGATTTTGTCTACGAATTCAAATACATCTTTGACGCTATATTTCATTATTTTCTCGTGCAGAGGTTTGAGAATATTTACTAACCATCCAGCGAGAGCATGGTAGGGCAAATTTTGCATATCAAGTATATGTCTTAACGGTACCCCTGGTTTATGCACTTTAGGTAGGCTATACAATCTTGGCGTGTACGTGCCCATTTACCTGAGCTGTTCATATAAACTTTCTCGAAATGTCTGTTTTTTACCTTAGTTTCTTCAAACCTCTGCTTAATTCATTCTCTTTTTTGTTATTGAAATCTTTCTTCTCCTCAAGTTTTTGAAACTTCTGTGTGTCCTTCAATATATCATTCATCTTTTTAATATAGTCACTTCTATCAAGGAGGACTACTCCTGATCCTTTATCAGGCTTTGTGATTATCAGTCTCTCATCATTTACCATTTTATTTAGCTGTCTCTGTGCTCCTTTGTCAAGAAACTTTTACCGTCGCATTTGAGGTTTTTGTACTGATAACAACAATCCACTAGACTGGATTTGAAGCGTTCTAGTTCCAGGGTGGATGATGGAACTAGATCCCTTGTTTGACTAAATAGGTTTTCAAATTCAATATCAGTATCTAAGTGATTAACTCATTTCGGTCTATTACAAAAGCTACGGCCAAGAGAAAGTAATTCAAGTTGCACCTTATTTAATTCAACACTACTATAAGTGTAGACGTACTTCTTAGGATCTGCTAGAAATTTACCAGCCTCTGGCTTCCTTTCAATTCCTTTCATAAGCTCTATCTGCTTCTTCTGTGCTCTTCTTTCAGTAACTTGAGAAACGTATTCCATAAAAGGCGTTCTAAGATCTTACTGCCTGCGAGCGATATTGATTTCATTCTCTTGTATGTATGTAGATAAAGAATCTGTTTGTTATAATGCATATCATTTCAGCGTCTTCCTATTGGAATGAACTCTGCTTCGACTTAGAGACTTGTAATAAACCTTAGGATAGTGATTTGACTCGATTCATTTGTTAATGAAGTCCAGCGTAGACTTTGTTTCATGGAACTTAGCATTATACTTCAGGTACTCATTGAGAACGGAGAATATCTTCACTGATGAATCGAGGGACACTAACTGGATGAATTTTAGAAAACATTCCTACTAAGCGGTTAAGTGGTGAAATGTAAAAACTTACTTGTTTAAGGAGAGTAGATTTGTTATTCGATTTTCGAATACACTAATTCTGTCCAAGGACTCATAGTTTTAGATGAATTTCGTCATTAATTATCCATATTTTAAAAAGCATTTATAACGAAGGAAAACTGGAAGATTGTTTTTTCATAGTTTGAATCCCTTCATTAACACTCCCTAATGAACTTACCAAGCATTCACTTAGGAGTTAATTAAACCCCCGTACAAGGAACAATGTAAAATGACTTGTAGACTGTTGAAATCGTATGATATAGATTTCATATACAAAATATTACAACCTTTGTACTTCATATTGTGTAAGCCAAAAGATCCAATAGCAAATACACAACGCCAATATCAGTTATAAAATAGATTGCATCAAATATAAAATATCACATAATAACTAAAGTGAGAGTGAGAATAAACTAGCTTTCAGAAGGTACGACACACATCTCATCATGTCAGTCAATACACATGAACAGTTATGGAAATAGATTCCGCTAGGAGATATGAAAATCTTTAATAGAGGAAACACGGAGAATGCTATGGAATTGCTAGAAGCCTGGTGGTTAGATCAATTCTCCATTAACATACATAAATCAGATTCATCAGTCAATAAAGTATCAGTCACACGATCAAGAGACCAAATACCAGCTCACTAAGACAATCATCATCCATACAAATGGACACAGACCTAAGAAAATCTGCAGAGACAGCTAAGCACAGTCGAAATGCCAAGAAAAGAATGGCATTTCGTGTATGAAGTATTTCGGAAACTCAGTTTATTTTGAAGTCACTGCTGGTTTTATCTAGAAAACAATGAAAGCTTCATAGTTAAATGTCCCACGTCACTGAACGTATAACACTGGAGACATCCGCATAAAATGCAAATCTTCATTGGTCAGAAAGCTAGTACGCTACCCATTAATGGCTTATCTTTCGATAGCGTTCCTGTGTTTCTAAAGAAAAATTGTGGTCGGTGGAGTCCACCAAACCAAATTTGAGGACATATAATGGCGGAACTATATTGCTAACAGATAGGGATTATAACTCTTCGGTCATCAGTTTCCAACCCAGTGAATCATTGTGAACGTACTGGTTTTATACTCTGAAGCTTCTCAGGTAGATCCCTGTTTTTGACGAGTCTTAAACTAGCATCAAGCAGCTGATGGATTGATCCTCTAGTACTGCTGCACTTTGAAATCGATTATTACTGCTCGAATCCAATATTTGAATCTCAGTTTCTGCTTAAAAATGCAACCAAACTACGAGCCTGTAGTTTTTGGTGTAATAAATTGCTGTCAGCTAACGCTCAGTTTCATTCCTTATGGAAAAAAGTGTTAAGTTCAAGTTTTGTAAGCCAGAAAAGAGCAAATAAAATTCCAAAATATGAAATCTTCCAGTTTACTTAACCTTATGACCATTAGTTTATTTTCACCGGACATTCTATCCTATTTCTTGAAGTAAGTGACTATTCCCATCAAAAAAGAGTTTAATATACTTCGGTTTACACAGATGCCCATAATTTTTGAGCCAGCTTTTTAAAAGAAATGGGTGTTCAGCTTAAGCCAAGTACATGACTTTCAAATAAGTCACAAAGTCGACAGCACTGACGATATTCCAAGAAGATGGTAAAAATAATCCGTTCCATACCTAACGATGAAGTTTTTAGTGAGATAGATCTTATAGGCGTAAGCGAGGCAGATATGATCTAGTAGCTTTGTTGTATGCACACAGTTCTTGAAGTCAGTCTGGAGTCAGATTGCTTTTTATTGACTGACGAAAACAAAAGTTTTATTTTTGAAATCTGTCCATAGGTTCTGCACAAACTGTGATGTTCAAGTGTTGGTTTGCAAGGATTTGCTTTAATTGGTTACAGGATTTCATTATGAGCTGAAGTCGGTTAGAGAACTAGTGAAAAACTTGGGAGTAATGGTCAGCTGTTTCGTCCCACTAGTTTGGGACTCTTTATCAGTACGCACCCTCCAAAGTTCAAACCCAGGACTTTCCGGTTACGAAGTGAGCTCGTAGACCATTAAGCCATTGACGCTCACTGGCGACTGGCCCTATTCAGGTAAGTAGTTACCTGGGTTTCAGTGGGCTGTTGTGATCAGTCAGGTACAACAGGTAGGAAGTGAGGACAGATAATCGCCGATGACACTGTCTGGTAGTCGCGCTATTTCGTGAATCGGCAGAGGTTAGAATTCATAGGCTAGCCATTGGTTCGGGTCACAGTGGCTTAATGGTCTTTGAGCTCGATTTGTAACCGGAAAGTCTTGACTTCGAACCCGGTGAGTGCGTACCGACGAGGGACATAGGAAATACTTGTCAAGAACTTCCACGTTTTTCAGTAGTTTCCCAACCGATGTCAGCTCATGATGAAATCATAAAAAAAACTGTTT